TTCTCCAAGAAACCCCAAAAAATGAAAGCATGACATTTTTTAAAAACCCAAATCGTACTGGAGTCATGGACAGAACACAGCTTGAATTTTAAACAGAGACATTTCTATTCAAACTGTGTCCACCAGAAAGAACGATTATGTAGCCTAAAAAGTAATGGATACCGAACCTTCTTAGATAAACTTTACAAACTTCCCTTCACTCTTAAAACTAAATCTACAAGAACATAGCAGTGTTTGGTCAGCATAAGCCCACTCCACCCTTTCTACCTGAATCCAGGCCACTGCGTCAGTAATCAGCATTAATGTACTATTTTCCAGGATTTCCAGTTGTAAGGTTATTTTAGTTGGATCGCCCAAAGAGACCCAGAATTTTTTCTGTCAACACGCCCTGGGTTTTCAGAGCAGTCTGCTCCAATAAGAAACACACCACAGCATTTCCCCTGAATTATTCATATGTTTGCAAGTGTGTGGTGTGTGATGAAATATAGCCCCAGATGAATATGGAAATACCAAATTACTGCTTATATTAATGACTGCAGTTTTTATTGTTCAAGTAGTGCAAACAGTGTTGCCACTATGACCCCCCCCCGAATGAATAACTTTACCATTTCAGAAAGATTCAGAGTTTTACAAGATTGTAAGGGACAGACAGTCTTTAAATGTTCTCATGGTAAATTTCTATACTTGCATACATTTATTTTCAGTATGAGAATGTCCTCAATGGGTCTTTCCTGTAGTGGAGCTGGTGGTGACTCTTGGGGTTTTCTCCCCATAGAACAACTCGACAGACCCTGATGCCAGCAGTGGGGAACAGATGGCTGAACGTGTTAGCGTGGCTCCACCGTGCCAGGGGTCAGGGGAGACTTTTCATCCGGTCAGGCGATTGAACTCATCCGAACGTGCACCCTAACCTGTTGCTGCTTAACAGTGCTCACCTGCGGTGTTACAATGAAACAAACATGGCTCTGTTACATCTTTTTCAAGGATATTTGCATCCTAGTATATAAAAAAAACTGTATAAAATATTTAATTTTATTTCACTTTCTATTGTCTTGACTGGTGGGTTTGCTGACTAGTCCACCCAAAACAACTGGTCTGTGGACATAAAGACATTTGTAATATAACAAATAATATGTTTTCTTTTAAAAAAAAAGCCAAAAAGAGCAAATTGATGTTTGAGGCGTGGTGATGGAATAACCCCGATGACTAATTGTCGATTGTTGCTTAAAGATTATTACCACACCCGGTTGTGGTTGCATATATTGTTCAATGACACGTACGTGCTCAAGCATGCACCTCTGCAATAACAACAGGAAGAAAATAAAGCCCGAGTGTCAAGAATGTTCACACGTCATAAGGAATAAGCTCGGCATTCAACGAGAAGCTAAAGCTCATCCTGCTGAACGAAGCAAAAGAATCGGAGCTAAAATCATTTTCAATGATGCTGTGAAGGGTGCACATCCTCCAGACTGCACCTATTATTCACCTAGATAGTGGAGCTCTCTAATGAGTCTAATTACACTCCAGCAGCCAGGAAACAGGGAGGATATTTTACCATTTTGTCCTTTCCCTCGAAGACATAAATCCATGGTCTAAAAGTCACTCATCCTTCTGATGAATTTAGTCTTTTGCCTGTTGCTCTCACCCCCTGCTCTTGTCTTTCCCCCCATCTGCTCAGTTGAAGGTGATAGATGTGCAAGTGTAGTTGAAGTGGAAGGCTTTGGAGAGAGAAAAAAATCCCTGTGAGATAAACAGACAAGCTCAACTGCATGTGAGAGACAAAAATAAGCAACCTTTTTATGACAAAGTGACATTTAGAATCAAAGCTGACATAATGACACAGAAGATGGATCAATGCTTCATCCTTCCACGTTCAGCTCAGGTAGGCTTCTGTGGGCAGCCTCTTCATCCTCACAATCCTCTTTCTGGGGTCAATTTTCAGTTCCTTGCTGCTATAGATAGCAGACTGTTCCTATAACTGTTTCTAAGACTCCTGTCTGACAACTGCAGCACCAAAATTCTCACTTGGCTGGGCTTCAAGCCACTAGAAATGGCCACTGTGCGGGTGTACAATATAACCTGTCCACAGGAACTTCTCTTTCTTGTGTTCCTTTCACAGACCTTTTACAGCTGAAAGACTCAGGACGTACATATTGACCAGCAGGACTTAACGCAAAAAGCAAAGAAACTCAAGGAATGAAAACAGAAACACAGACGGATCGCCAAAATCTCCCTGCAGCAACAGATTGTGCAGCAGAGAAAAAAAAACACGATCTGGCTCTCGCGACAGGAAAGCAGTTTATACGACTGAGCCGTGCCAATAGAAGGAAGACTTTGTCGGTTTTCTCCAGTATCAGACAAATGTCTCAGCTGACGGTGAATTCTGGAGCAGATCAGCATGTGGGCTGCGTTCACAAACCAAGAAGTGAGGGAGTTTTCTGTGTCATTTCCTCTGACGGTCATTTCTGCAGTCTGCTGAAAGCAGCTGTTTACTTCAGGGCTGGTCAGTATACAGGCCCAACAGTTTCAAGAGCAAAGCTTTGAGTTTGGCTTATCTTTGATTTTTTTTCATGAAATATATGAGTAATTAAACCATTTAACATTTTTTTAGGGGAAAAAAAACATTTGATGATGAACAGGCCTAAAAATCTAAACTATTATGGGTATTACAACGTAATAAAACCTTTTATCTAAAGAAAATCATACCTGTAAAGATTTTTATTAAAATTCAGATAGCTCAGAATGGTCTGTTTGGGTTGGATGTGTCTAATAACATTTATTCATTCACACACATACACACACACACACAGAAACACACACACACACACACACACACACACACACACACACACACACACACACACACACACACACACACACACGTGTTTGCTCCCTCAGGGGGACATCAGTGAAGCAGTTGATGCGAAGATTGCATGTCACTTGGTGTTAATGGGTGTTTTTGCTGTAACCACATGCAGAATTGAAGAATAGAGTCCATTAACAGATAATATTTGTTTAAGAGGGTCTTTGTCAGCATCGTCTCCATTCTACGCTCTGACGTGGTTTTCTTCTCATTCTCTGAGTGTCTTGTCATTTCTTTTAGCTTAAAACTCTGATCCTGTTTTTATAGTTTATTGCTATTTAAAAGGTTTTAATTACACCATGCTATCGTCTTATCATGAAATGAGTGATTTCATAATGTTTTTCTTTAAAAAAATCTTTGGAATACAGTCACATTTATTCAATTTCTTGGTTCAATATGTCATTTACGCAACAGTAGTTGTCATGACAGATATAGACTACACTGGATGGATGTAACAAGGGTTTTCTCCCCTGTCAGTGAAATAAATCATATCAGTCAATCAGTCACATGAATTACAGACTACAGACGTTTAATGAAGCCCCTCTCAGTTATCTGCTGTAAGGCACAGCTCTGAAACAGTTCTTTTTCTAAGGTGATCAGTCAAGAGTTGCAAATCTGTAACACTGTTTCTAGGGCTTTCAATGGAAAATTCTTACTCTTGGTACATGCTCCAACCTTACTGTATTTGTTCAAATTGACTTTGAGTGTTATTAGATTATTCGTACCAGCTGTTCTCCAACACATCCTATTTAAACAGTCTGTTAAATCTGGGAAAAGGTTAATGACTTCATGATTCATCGACTCTTTCTTTGGGCACTGATGGCAAAAGACTGTGAACTTTAAAAAAATCAGGAGGGACTGTCTCACTTACCTGAACTTTTACTTAAATTGCAGGGATCATCTTCTCCCAAATGATTCACAACACCGTGTTAAAATACTTTCTGAAGGAAGACTGACAGATTTGTAAAGATGTGGCTTTGAATAAAAAGATTAAATCAATATGTGCAGCCAGCTCACATCATTGTCTGTGGACTGATTTTAGAAAAACTCCCTTGTGGGGAATATTTTAGGACAGACGGATAAGAAACACTTTCATTTCTTGACTGACTTTCAAATATTTAAACAAATGAGTAACCTGCTCAAATGGAAATTCATAGTCATAATCATATTTGTACAAGAAAATAAAGGGAAATGTCATCATATCCTATAATACATTTATGAATATATGAATAAAAGCCTGTATAAATAGAGATTTTCCACATGCTGCCAAATTGTTCTCCCTGCACAGCAGTGTTCACTCACTGAAATACTTCACATGGTTTTCGGCTAAACTTTCCCTGCCTTGCTTCCCTACAGTATTTCAGAAAAAAGAGAACTTCTCCGCATTGATTTCCTGTTACTGTGTGACCAAAAATAGTGCGGCGTGCTGAGTCCCTTGCGTGAGCTGTTCTGTTCTAGACAAGCAGGCAGTCGGGGGGCAAGCTGTGGGCTGGGAATGAAGTGGAAGGGAGCCGACAGCGTACGAGTCTGTGAGAGCCTCCCATGACACTCGGTCCCAGACGAGGAGGCCAAATAAACAACGAGCTAGCAGGCGAGGCGCAGAGGCATGTCTCCAGCCTGTAGAGAGAAAACGTAAAGGGATACAGGAGAGAGCGCAGGAATAAGGGGTGACACAGCATGCAGGGGCTTCCTTAGAGGCTAATGAGTTTGGCTTGGTTCCCAAAAAATGCCGCAACACACAGAGAGGGAGAGACTCTTTAAATTTCGCAGAAAAACTTTTGCATTTATAAAATGAGAGATTTTTTTTTATCCATCATAGCAAAAATCTAATTACTGGTAGCTCTGTATGTGCTGCTTGCTGCCTGCCCTGAATGAATCTGATGGTTATTGCCATTTAAACCTGCGGATACATAAATCCACCACGCAGTTTGGAAGTAGAATGAAGAGAGATGAAGAGGTATAAGTAATATTGACCATATTCTCTGATCAATATCCATTTATGCTTCCGTTTGGTGGAGTGGCTGGCTGAAGTAGCTCCTGCGGTGACCCTGTCTTTCCCCCTTTTTTTTCTCCTTTTTATTTTTACATTTTCCCCCTACCTACTCCTGTTTGTATTCTTTACTCATCTAATCCAGAGGGTCTGTACCAGCTGAGAGGTTCACACTGCGCTCCTCAGAGCAGCATAGAAGGACTGGAGGATGCAGAGGTAGGAGCCTGGTTATTTGTCCTCCACTGCTGTCACAGAATGCCGCCTCTATTATTTCCCTCCCTTTGAGTCTGCTTTAAACTATGTACTTTTCAATCACGCTCCTTTTGTAGCGGAAATGTAAGACCCACGTGCTGCTGCTCGTGGTGCACGGAGGAAACATCTTGGACACAGCGGGTGGAGATCCCTGCACAAAAGCCGGTGATGTGGCCACGTTGGGCTCAGTTCTGGAGAAGGTGACGCGGGCACATTTTCAGGCTGCGGCCGAGCACGTGATGATCAAGCTGGTGCCATGTCCAGCTGTGTGTGCTGAAGCCTTTTCTCTTGTTTCTAAGTAAGTACTATTACCAAACTATAGAATTGTGCTAGCCTTGCATTTCCCATGTCTAAGGCTAAGAACCGGAACTGTTATAATGAACGATTTTCTTTATATCTAAGTAATTATGCATGGAAAATAATCTCTGGACTCTGGTGCAACACCATTCTAAATTGGTTAATGTCTTTCAAATGGCTTTAAACTAAAGTGTTTGTACTTGAGTGAATTAATCACTATAGGCCACTTCAAATGCCACAGTCATTTATTAGACGTGTGTCAAAGGAGGTGTCAATACCTCTCATAAAACAGTATTTTATTCAATATAGAACACTAAAGACATAATATGTATGTGTGTGTATATATGTTTGCGTGTGCAACTAAAGTTTCCACGGGGCAATATTCACCATTTTGTTACATATTACATTTTTTACAGCAGTCCAGGGACTGAAGAGACTAGTTGCTTAATGTTTGGGAGGGGGAATGTTGTTTGGTTGCTCGGCTGTTCCTGTAATGCGTTTGATGCCAAATGTTTTGGATAGAGGAATGTTCTGGAGGGGTTAAGTGTTCGCTGCCAGTGATTTCATAAAGTGTTCCTCCGTCCATGCTGTGATTTCCATGACAGAATGATAGGTTTTTACCACGGTGCTTCCAGATGGAATGAAAATGACAAACATTTTAAACTGGCTCTGGGTAATGTCCCCTCGCACACAGATTTTCTGAATATATTGATATTGTTTGCTTTGCATGTTTGTGTGTGAAAAGTGTTTGCAATTTCAAATATAACACATTTTTCAGAAACATCTTTACAATTTATGGATTGCCCACATCTCTGCCCACTGTGCATGTCTGCCTGTCTTTATCTTTTTAAGGCATATGACTCACTAAAGTGCTCTTCAAAAATTGATTCATTATTATGCCACTGCCCTGTTGCCCTTCAGCCATATTGTTTGCAACATATCTCTCTAGGTGTTTTAGCTTTTTGTTAACCTCATCCCTGCCTTTTTTTTCAAATAATTACATTTTTTTCCTCCTATTCACAGTTGCTGCAGAAGCTTACCTTTTTTCCAATTGTTGTTTTTTTTCTGATTCCTTGCGTCATGCCGCAATGCATCAATCTGACCCAAAGTACACATTTATTTTTTCAGATAGTTTTTTATAACCACATTTTAGTCTGTCACCAATTGTGGCTGATACTCCACTTGAGATATATAAAGCAGCTGAGGAGATTATATTGTACTTTTTAAACTCAGAATTTCTCCATGATAGTCAATCCTCAATTTATACAAAGGAAGTTAGTTCCTTTTGAATCCTGTTGTTTTAATTGTCAAAGTGCTTCTCCTTAGGGCATAAGATAAATAGCTAAATTACATTATACATGTGTCAGCTGACCTGAGGCTTCTGTAATGTGTGTTGTGATCACTTAGCTAATTTATCTGGCCATTTAACCCCACAGGTAGTATTCTTTGTAATTATCTCTGTGGAGTTTTTAGACCCATGAGGTTATGTCTGCATTCATCAGTCTTTTTTTAAACTAATGATATCATTTCATATTCAAAGTCACGTAACCCAGTGGTCACTGGTTTTTATCTCTGACAGCCTCAATTAGTTTTCACTGCCCTCCAATTATATGCGAAGGATGTTTTCGTCCGAAATGTCACTAATCACCGCAGCTGCCAGTGCGTGTTTGTCAAGTCAAGGCATTCATTCATGATAGCCGGGGCGAGGATGTTTTTACTCAATCTGTGCTGACACTGAGAGAAGCACAATTCTGCCCCCTGTTAAAATGGTATATATATATATATATATATAGAGTTGAGAGGCTAAAATCCAAGGAGGGGAAAATATTATCAAAATGTCTAGCAACTGGTGTCCTCAGTTCCCTGTGTGACTTTTGACACATGTTGCAGGCATCTAATTTCATAACACAGGGTCATTTTTTAAAAATCAAATAGTAAAAGGTGAGCTCTGTTATGTTTTAACCTAAAGAGCTTATTAAAGAACCCAACTGAAATAAAAAGTAAATGTGTTTTGACCCCCGGTGAAATTAAACAAAGCCTCCCATTTGTCCCCAGATTCCTCAAACATGCTCGTACAATATGTGCAGTCAGTAGGCATTAACACACACCCACACATCCAACTCCTCTTCTGTCAGTTAACAGTGTGTGCCCTAATGACAGTGTTGGACTTGTGGGTGTGCGGAGACTCATTTATTTTAATGCCGACACAAACATCTTAGGAATAGGCGGCCGCTCTGAGAGGAACTGTGTCTGTGTGCGTAATTTGCTCTCATTCTGGGTAACAGCTTAGCCGAAAAGTCTCACCTCCAATCGGAGGTGGCAAAACCTCTTCGCGCCTCAAAGACAAACTTCCGCATAAACAAGCCACCTCGGACTCACTGCTTGATAGTTCCTTATGTATTGTAGAAGCTCCCCTGACAGAATGAGCACGTTTGTGTTTATGTGGTGCGCGGAAAAAGGCCGACTGTGCCCCAACGGGGTTCTGAGGGCTCATTAGTACAGTGGCTTCGTCTGCTAATGATCATACCTGGCAGTGCTTGCCACGAGGCTAGGTGTCAGGAAACACGTGTAACCTATGAACACACAGAAACTAGTTGAAGGGAGCACTGACTATTTTTGTTATTACACCATGGCATGTCCAAAAACCTGCAACCCAGAAAAGGTCTTAATTAATTTCTTCTGGAACCAAACATTGTCACAAGTAAACATTAAGTATATTAGGAATTTCATTAGAACACCAGGCAGAATAGTGTCACAAATTCCTATATTTTTAGTTTTCTAACCAGAAAGTCCACTTATCTGTTTCCACAGCGACTGCTATCAGCCGAGTGTGGTGGGCCTCATTATACTGGACGTCGTTGCTGAGGACATGCCAATCCTTTTTCTTGGCTCTCTTTTAAATGAAAGGGACTCTGCAGAGTACCATTACTGTTCATGTTAATTGCGCTGAAGTTGTGCAGCGCTCAGCCAGCCATTAAAGAACCGGGGTGCCATTACGCAGGAATCTGACAGACTTCACATTTTTTTCAGTTTTGCGATTATAAAGTTAGAGCCGGGAGGGTGTCGGCGCACCATAACAGATTAAATCTCAAGGTTATGCTGCGTAAGATGAGGCGGATTCTTGGTTTAATCGGCTCACTCAGACTTATCCTCTCCTCATGTAGTTAATGGACATCCTCATCACTGAATTACCATAAAACTTCATGAGTGACTCTCAGAGTAGAAATATGTAATAATTAGCGTGATTTATTTGTTTTTGAGTGGGTCTGACATGTTAATCACAGGTGAGATGGGTTAAAAATATTAAATACTGTTGTTTCTTTAATTTCATATACAATAGAATCCAATAAAATACCAGTATACCTTCTGTTTGTTCCCAGTTAATGCATAGAAGTCGACAGTTGTGAGCAAATTCATTATTTCTTGAAGTAATGAGGGCAGGCAGCACACAGCTGATTTACCTCGACCTCAACCCCTCCCTACACTCTTTGTACTGCTTGATTTATGAATGATTTCTTTTGTGGTAGATTACACATTAGAGAAACGTGTTGTCCTGATTAAAGAATCCTAAACCACAGGGAGACTCCACCATAAAATCAGGATCATAAAGCACCATCTGTGCTGGTTTTGCTTTGTCATAATTGTTTGCCCAGTGTCACATCCACCACTACATTGATCACAGAGGAAATCCTACTTATAGGCAGAAATATTGGCCACAGCAATTAACTGCGGCTCATGTGAATTGTTTGATGGAGCAGAGGTTCCAAAGTACTTGTTTGTAAAATAGTAATGATCGGATCAAATACATTTGGATTTTTTATCCTATTCTCATGAATGGGTAGGCTTTGATGCCAAAAGATATAAAACCCCACAAAATCTGCCTCATGCACACACATTTTTATGTGCTCTATTGAGTGAAAAAAGTGCCTGCTTCATGATAATGACTAACAAGTGTTTGCATAATTAAGCAATTATGTAACGCATATAACAAGTGCATTTCTATCTGGTGACTTGAGAGCTTTTCAGGGACATATTGTTGTTTAGAATGATAATTTACTTGTTTTTCCTTCTCCATTTGAAGATCTTGGTATGCAAGTGGGGCTAATGGGACGACAGTAAAGTAAGAAATAAAAGTAAGTTCCCCTAAACTGTACAGCCTGGATAAAACCCTTTTTGAATAATACACATGGACTGCTCCGTTCTCATTAACGAAAAGAAGTTAATATAGAAGTTTCCTGAATGTAGAGGACTGGACAAAACGATTTCATGGCTCCTGAAGTAATGCACTGTCACCACTTAATATTTCACGCAACACTTTAAAGGTAATGATAATCTTATGCGGGTAATTGGAACAAGTATGTGTCGAGCTTAAAGAAAAACAATATGATTTTTTTTTTTTTAACCCACTCAAATGATTTACCAAGACCACAGAGTGGGAGGATTATGCTCTTATACTCACATAAGAAACCTTCAATACATAAGATGACCTCTCTCCATCAAGCACTTTTAATATAGCACTGAGTAAATTTGTGTTGTTTTTTATTAGTATAAATTCATGTATGTCCTAATTTGGTCTTTGTTTAAACTGCAGGAGATGCATTATTTTCTAACATCTAAATTGATTTTCATGCTGATGTTTTGAGTACTCAGATGGGACTTAAGTCTCCGGAGGTCACAAGTGCATCCACATGGGTTGCTGCGGTAACAGGGTTGGCGTCAGTAGCTGTGTAGCCACACCGGTTACATCACTTTGATTGGCCGTTTTGTTCCCACTCAACAGACGTCTCTCTGGGCATTTGAAAAGCCTTTTACAGCAGCTGACTGCTTCGCTTGTGGATTTGACTGATTTACCGTGGGGTTTCAGAAAACTACAAATGGGGAGTTTTACACCCCGGACTGTATGCTTTCAGGCCGTGTCTTTAGCTTTCAAAAGCTATTTGAGCTGCAACAATCTTGAAAAATAGCGTATTGGTTCAAAGTGGTGCTTTCAAAATGCCTGCTTTGTCCAGCCAAAACCCTAAACCCCTGAATTACAGCAAGAAGAAAGAGGCTCCAGGTTCACGTCTCCATACAGTTAGAGTCCAGTTCTATTTCTGAAAGTGCGTTACCTTTACTCTCTTGATCTGTCGGAGAGTGGAAAAGCCAGGCCTGAGTACTTGTAGAGCTCTTAATTATAGAACCTGTTTCAGCTGCTGAGACTCCGCTTCATCTTCATCCCACCTGTCCCCACTCCTGCAGTTTAACTCACCAACAGACATGAAAGGAAGCAAAGAGGTTTCTTCCATGGTTGCAGTGTAGGACTCCAGTGAATATAAAAATGTGTATACTCACTTAGGTATGGATGATTCTGATTTGGAGTGAGCAGGTAGAGAAAATCTAAGAATAGATGGAAGAGAAAAATTATGCTTTTAAAAAGAAAAAATAGAAATTAGACCCAATTACTGGACCAAATTATTGTTAGACCCAGATATTACTTTACAAACACAACTGAAAAACTAACCTCAATACTAACTGTACTAATTACACACATTAGCATATTATACTGATACAATAGTGACTTCTGGTGATGACATATGAGAAAAAAAACTATCTTGAAAAATCATTGAACAAAAGACGAAGTCCCTAGAAGAATCCTTGACAGTGCAGCAGTACTTCGGTGGGATTTTGAGACGTGGCATTAGAGCGGCTTAAACTGTTAAGTCTTCTGACTTTGACAATGACTTTCAGAAGCACCTTCAAGCCTCAGCCTCCCTGGGTAAAAGCTACTTCAATTTTTCCCAGGTTATTGTACCCATGGCAATGCGATGGAACCATCCCAATGACTCAAAATAAAAATCCTTTTTTGTGTCATGGAGAGTAGGATATGTCAAGTCCAGACAGCTCCTGTTTTTTGTAAAGTAAAGATATACGTACACTTAAATTACATTAAAGAACTCTGATAAATTCGATCTGTGAGCTCATGTAGCAGTGTGATGTTGTTACACTAGATTGTATAACTTGACAACTCACTTGAGAGATATTGCTCCAGAATTTGCTTAGATTTAGGAATTAAGCACACGGCTAACCAGTGGATATGATGTAATCCGTAGAATATAGTTTTATGCTAAACCAATTAGAGGTGGCGTACGTCAAGAGATGACTGTTGTGTAATCTCTTGAGGTACAATAATTCCTTTTTCAGAATCCCTTTTCAGAAAATAAATCAATCATTCGCACTCCCTGTTTAGTTTGAGACCATTATTTTTGTGAAAGGAAATTGTTTGGAGCCATTTATTTAATGTTGCCAGCAGAAGATACTGCTGGAAGTCCCAGGTTGTAAGCCATTGGCTAATGCCTTGTTTATTCACTCTTCAATATATCAATTTTTCCCAAAAGGAGATACAAAAAAACATATCTGGCTTGTTCCATTTGCCCACATTTTTAAAGATTTGGTAAGTTTTACTAGTGCCACATAGCACGTCTTAAAGAGCTGCAGGGTTTTCTTTTGGAAATGTTGAGCAATATTCTGACTTTTGACGTTATTCTAAACAAGACAATATTTCAGTTATGTTGTTTACACAAAGCTGAAAAAGAATGTATTATCACTTAATCATGCTTAAATGTTTCCACCGTCGTTTGTCTTATGCCTGCATTTTGTCCATCCACCTACCACTGAGGTGTTTGCACCCATCTAAAGTCTTCAGTATATCCTGTTTTTTCCTCCCTAAATATGTGTCTTCTATACTGGATGGAGGAGCCAAGAGCAGAAGTTGTAAAGCAAAAGAATGTGTGAAAATTCTGGCAGTAATTCAACCTGTGAGTCGGGTGTATACATGTCTGCATAGTGTGAAAAAGGTCACATTTGTTAACAGTAAGAAAAATGAGTCACATCTGGATTATTATTCAAATCTTCATTTCATCAGGAACATATTTTTTGCTTTTAATCTTCTTTGTTAGTACACTGATTTTTAGTTAGAGTAAATCCTCTGTTTTCGGTTGCTTGACCGCTGCATGAAAGCCCCTGCCCTCGGCCGCTTTGTTTCTGTCTGTGATGGGAGTTGTCCGTGACTGCGGACACACATTGTTGCTACTTTCTGGGATGAGCATCTGATGGATAGTGGCTGCTCAAGGAGACGGTGCAGGGCAATGCCATCTTTTAATGTTCCTCACTTTGTCACTTGAGCTCTGTGTGCCTCCCATAAGCACGCACTTATCCACACACACACACGCACACACACACACACACACACACACCTACAAACGTCTGAACAACTTAAACACACTGGTTATTATTGCCAAACTTGTTTCTGTGTGCTTTATTTCTTGAGATAACAATCTGTTTCCCTGCATTTTGTCTGTAAATACAACATCCCTCTCTGTCTCTCTCTCTCTCTCTCTCTCTCTCTCTCTGACACACACACACACACACACACACACACACACACACACACACACACACACACACACACAACAGTGATGTTGAAACCTGGCATCGAATCACATTAAGTGCTTTGTGAACCCTACATCTAGAGATGTAGCTTAGTCCAGATCACATCCAAAGGGGGATTAATCTCTGTTGTTGATGCTTATATATGTTACAAATGATATCACACCTACATTTGTTTTGAATTAATTAGAAACTAATAACTCTAAACTCTACAGAGCTGGAAGGGCGTATTAAGCTAAATGTAATTAAAGGCATGATGAAATCAGAGGGGTGTCTTCCAACATCCACCTATACATGGATGCATCATTTTGAGTTGCTTTTCTACTTTCCTGTCCAGTCTTAACCCCTACAGCTATGACGAGAGCTGTGTGTCCAGCAGCGTGGACCACCTGCCTTTGGCCGCTCTCCCTCTCCTTGCCATCGTGTCTCCACGCTATCAGGATGCCGTAGCAACTGTCATCGAACGGGCCAACCAGGTTTATCGCAGCTTCCTTCAGTCAGAGGATGGTCAAGGATTCACCGGGCAGGTCTGTGCTGCCTTCTTTTTCTTTCGAGAGGGAACTGGAAAAGAGCACTCCTTCGTGTTAGTCACACACCATGAAACGACAGGCTTTGGCCAGTGCTTACGATAAGTGGGCTATGTAATCTATGAAAACTGTGGGTGATCACCTCATCAGAAAGCTTCAGATCTAAAGTACCACATTTCCCTCCCTTGTACTCTATGATTATAGACTCTTAGTAATGAGCTGTATTTTCTAACGAGGTAATGAACTGTGAGAGGACTGGTTTGCCCTCTGAAATACAGCTCTGCTCTGCTTATTTTAAAGTATGGAAACAATTCTAAGTGCAGCTTTTTTTAGTCAACATATTTGGACCCATATGCTGCAGTTCAGTGATCGTAGTGCTTATTTAAAGACACGCATTTCATCTGAACCTTGATGGGAGGTGATTAAGAGCCACTAGCCAATACCATCTTGGTTAGTCAAGTCAATTAACTGGTCTCTAAAAAGCTACAGCAGGCTCCTTTTAATGATAACACCACTTTACATTTAGTTTTTTGGCTCTCACTCGTGTATAAATAATATGTGATTTTACTGGTTACTATTGTTTTCATAATTCTGCCTCCCCTGTTGTCTGACCTCCTCACTGAAAACCACCCAGTTTCTCCTCATTCCTTCCGTTCTCTTAAAGAGTTTACTTCTAGATATCAGCAAGTTGCCATTAGTGTAATGAGCTGTGGAGATACATTCTTTTTCATTTAAACAACAAAAAGGCTGGTAAAAGTATGTTCATGAAACAAATGTAACTGAAGTTCAGATTTTTTAAAGAAAAAGCAAAGTATCATAAATGTGTTACATAGCAAAAACCGTGTTAGTGGAATATTATTATTATTTGAAGATCATTTCTTTCTGGACTGGATTTAACCAAATAAGTCATTTAAAGAGTTATTGTGCTACTTCACAAATTTTTGTTAGAGGGAAAATGAAGGCGTTTAAAATGATAATAGTTTGATATCCCTAATATAACTTAATATAACTGAATCAGAAATACAAATGCAAGCTGATGTGAGATTCCTTCCCAAAGGATTGGTTTTAATTAGCCTAAACAATATGTTCACACTTGATTAAGATGCTTGTTGTTTTTTCTTCTTGAACAAATTTGTCCTACAAACGCAATGTACAAATGAAATAGAGACGTTCCTCACTGCTAAAAACCACTGCAGGTGGAAGATGATAGGGATAAAAACAATCTTTAATCCTATTTAATATTTCCTATAAGGTCTGAATGCACCAACTTAGAAAAATAAACGTATTACAGTTAGTTTTCTTGTTCTTAAGTTGTTACTAAACTGGAAATCAGTGAGCATTGCGCTATCCAGCCCCATTTGAGTATCTTTATTCAGAACTCCAACTGCTGGAACTGTCACTGACTGAAGCCGTCACATGAAGAACATGCAGAATTTTTTATTTTTATTTTTTTGGTGCAGGTTTGCCTGATGGGTGACTGCGTGGGTGGAGTGCTGTGCTTTGACGCGTTGTGCTTCAGCAACCATCCGAGGCCTTCCAGCCCCAACAACAGCAGCAGGAACAACAGCACGGAGAGCCTTAAGGTAGAGCTCCATGTTTTACAGATAACACAATGATGGTACACACGGCTTTGTGGGGGTTTACAGAGATGGTGAGAGAATATTTCACTAGGTCTGTACGATTAAGAGATCAACCAATCGAGATTGCAAGCCTGTGCTATACCATCAAGAATGAAAATTCACACTAGTGCAGTGTCCTTGGCACATCCTTAGAGGGACTCATGCGTAAAACCTTCCTCTGCTATGTCTATTCTCTGCCAGTTTTTCAGTAAATTAAGTCTACAGATTGTTGTCACGCTTTAGTATCAGACTCCTCGGTATTAGATCTCTCAGAAGCATCTTTCACAAATTTGAAGAAAATCATGGTACCGTGGTGAATTCTGCATGTGCACATCACAGCTTATTTCCCAAAGGTTAAAAGAGGGCTGATGCACACCCAGTCATTTCAATTAGTTGTGCCGGAGAAGGGAAACTTGGGAGACATGCAGGACAATGGGCCTTGAGGACCAGGGTTGGGAAAGTCTGAAATAGCTGATACACTCACAGACACACACGCAGACCCACAAGCTGAAACCCAAAAGCAGACAAGAAACAGACAAATGGAGGGAAAACCAGTTTATTGATGGAATTAGGTTGCAAGGTCCACAGAGAATCCTTTGTGGGGAATCTTGACAAGAAGAGAAGGATGGTTGGATTGAAACACTGGAGCTTCTGCAGACCCTTAAGGAGCCAGTTCTTAATGAGAGTGACTGTAGCGAACCCCCCCCCCCCCCCCCCCATGGATACCAGCTCAGTCCCCCTACAACTCAGAGTAAAATCGAAAAACCACAGCCAAGTACAACAATAACATTTCATTCCCCTTCTTTGTTTGGTCTTTTCTAAGTGTTGCATTGTATTCAGTGTCTCTTTCTCATATTTGCCATTCAGATCCAATCATCGAGATTAACAGGTTCCCTCAGATGTTTTATTCCTCCCACACTGAACTGTTCACCTTGGGAAAGACTTAATCAACCTCCCTATCATGCAATGTGATTTCCTGTCAAAGTCACAGTCGTGACCGAAGGTTTTTTAAAGCCGATTCAACATTCTCCATCGTTTGTTTCAGGACAATTCTGGTCTTCTGAGGGAATCCAGTCCTGGTCTGAGTTCTAGCAAGAGGCTGAGTAAGAGCAACATCGATATTTCTGCTCCCAATGAAGGCCAGGGAGGACCACCTCTCAGCCGCAAGCAGAGCGACTCGTATGATGGTGATACCTCATCTGGTGGCCAGCACAACTTCTTCTCCAGGTGGAGCATAAACACAACCCACATTTAAAACCTTTTAAATGTTCTTTATCTACGTATTCAGGGGATTAAGCTAAGATTGGGTCACTGATATAAATAAATAGGACAGAAAGCAGATTGGATTAGATTTTCACCTCTTTTCCAAAGATGTTATCAAGTTTTTAATAAGGAACTAAATCCAAATTCGTAAATCGTGTAATTAATAAGCATAATTATATAGTAATATTATATATAGTATTGTAAAGTATAGAAAGTTTAATTAATGGACAAACTAACTTTAGAGTCAACATAAACTTTTTATCCTGAAGCCTCAGGTACACAAAATGTGGTTATCTTGTATCATGTATCTAAGAAAAACTTACTTTTTAGTATAGTGTAACCATATAAACATCAGCAAAAATTTTTAAACATATTTAAAAAGAAAAATTAAGAAACAAACGTTTTTAAGTATATGTTGTGACTTTATCTGTCACCCGAAGCATTTTGCCTGATGGTCCTATGGTCCAGAAATAAAGATAATCTGAAGTAGTAAAAAAAAAACAGCTTTGTCTCGCAGAGCCATTTCTACCTGTCTTGCTCCTGCTTTTTATCAATATCTGCAGCTTGACTGTTTTGTTCGCCTACCTGTCTGAGCTGGACTATAAATAGCGTGTTGGTGCCTGTGCCAGACATCCTCAGCATAAAAAAACAAAAAGGGGCACGGCTGCATTGTTTAGCTTCTCCAGATACCTGTATTAGGATTCCAGGTCAAATGCTCGAAAAGGCCAGCACTAAATACACTTAGAGATGCTACAGAATCCCTTAGTCATGCCTTACAGATCACGGCTCCGCACCTCTCACCTCTCACTGGCTGTTAAACTCCTTATTAAGCCGGAGGAAGAGACAAACCTCTGCTCCTCTGCTCCTGGTTGTGCTCTCGTCTCCTAACTGTCCCAGTGGATATTCCCAGTCACAGGAAGGGCTTATTAAATCTCCTTTTCCAGGACATTAAATCTTCCATTCGACTGGCTGTCTACCCTGGGTTTGTGCACCTCGCTCTGCGTCAGCTCTGATTGGAAAGTGCCCTTGAGGTCATGTGCACATGAACGCAACATTGACAAATTTCATCAGCTCCTGAGGATGTATTCAGAAAAAGAAAGAGCTGTTTTATTATTTCATTTTTCCACAGCTTTTTTTTGTTTGTCCCTTCCATCACTTGTATTAATATCGGTGCTGTTTTTGCGGCCAGATACATGTAAGTTTATGGAAAAATAAAAAGAAAGCTTTCTTAAGAATCCCAAATAATGATTTGAAATTACTTTTGTATAAATATTTACTGAATATAAAGACAAAAAGGCCACTCAGTCGCTAAGATAGCTCCTAAATCCCTACCCTAACAGGAAATTATGTTGAGTTGTGGTATGTAAAGTGCACTTGAGCAGACCGCAGATTTTGTCTTTACAGTAAATGTCTTTACAGAAGGAGAGTTAATCATGCACGTCACTGTGGTCTGTGCAGCTTTTAAGCAATACTTGAAAGTCACTGAATCTCACCCCAAAGTGCTTTCTGCTCGTTTAAAACTGGGGGCTGTTTTCAGGGAGTAATACATATTTCTTTCCAAAAATATGGATAATTGCATTTGAGAGAGGAGACAAAAACCCAAAATAGTAGCAGAGAGCAATGAGGGAACTATTGATTTGGGGCTTTTACAGATGCCTGGAGATTCTTGGCTAATCCTTCCTCCACATGTAAGACTTAATGGGGAAATGCTGGCCCGCTGTAGAGCCGGGGGATGAGGGCAGCCAGCAGTGGAGGATGTGTCGGAGACTGCCTGGCTGTTCTAACAGCTGTCAGTGTGTTGCAGCCCGTGAAGGCTGGGTGAGGCGTTGCTCGTTCTGAGTCATGAAGATCTGGTGCTGAAAACGAATTTAGAATAATAAAAACAAACCGGCCAACATCTGAATCAGAGAAAAACAAAAAGATATCTGACTCATCATGTGTCATTACAGTTATTTTTCCGTATGAATATTGTTGAAATTGCAATTGTTAAATTAGCCTGAGTGTGCTTTTTTGAGGTCCTGTGGCACAAGAGTCCTTCTGCCTTGACTCAGTCACGTTGCCATGTGCACAGTAAATGAATCCTGGATTTTTTTAAAGGAGCATCATCTTATCTGAGGAGTCGGGGGTGTCAACTTAGTTCCCACCAAGATTATTTATATTCAGTTAAAATGTGAATGTTCCTCCATAAGACATCTTGTTATTTGGACACATTGTTAATTCATCATATCAATCATCCAATTTTTGGGATGAAAGGCTAATAAATTAGCACCAATTAGCATGACTATGGGCTAGTCAAAGATAAAAAAGTTACAAAGGATATTTAGGTTTTTATTGCTAGGTTTCCCAAAGCTGTAAGAAGTTTAGAGAAGTATAATGCTTTGATTATGATTTCAGTAACATTATGCCTTGTGTGTGATCTCCAGTATGCTGAAGGATGGTGCAGAGGTGCGTGGCAGCAGCAGCCCCAGTCTGGTGATGAACCCGGGACGTTTTGACTTTGAGGTGTCAGACTGCTTCTTGCTGGGCTGCCCTCTGGGCCTCGTGCTGGCCATGAGACGCACTGTGCTGCCTGCTGTTCAGGGTGAGCCTTCCAACACGCGGAACATGAAACAGTCATTTTACTTATGTAGCACTTTGCATTAAGTGCTACAGGTTCATTCATATGTTCATCAACCGTGAAGCGAGACTTCTAAACGAGGTAAAACTCCAGCTGAAAAAGCAGGATCAAAGTGAACAGCTGTCTGTTATAAATGGGACTTTGGGCTTTTTTATATGTTGAAAGTGAATCTCAAACTGAGAACCTGATTGCTTTGCTCCAAATATGAATACCTCAATAATTCTACAAATTGAAAGCGATTGGTCCATTGTCTAGACAAAAAAAAGAATACTTCACAAAACCTCTAATCAGAACCACAGGTTTTCTCCCAAATTTCTTTGCAGTTTAACCAACTGAAGTGATTTTTATTAAATGTTTTTTTTGTTTGCGGTTCAAAGGAGAAAAGCCAGTGCTTCTTTGCAGATCTGCTAACGAGATCCTCTACTTTGATAGAGTACTTTTTTCAACTGGTTTTTATTTTGATCATCTGTTTCAAACACATGAAATCATTCACAATCACATCTCAGACTAACGTCATTTTTTTGTGTTATTTGCTCTGTTCTTCTGACAGTGAGCCAGCTCCATCCAGCCTGTTCTCAGATCTTCAACCTGTTTTACCCCTCGGATCCTTCAGCCTCCAGACTTGAGCCCCTTCTGCAGCCCCTCTTCCATAAACTGCCACCATTTGCTGTGCCGCGCTACCAGCGCTACCCACTTGGAGATGGACGCTCACTTCTTATAGGTATGATGGGAAATCAGTTATCTAGAGGGGGGCAGCTGCATCAACCCAAACATTTAATCATGAGATCTTTTTTTTTTTGGTCTTGCTGCATTTACATAATAAGAACCTTTTGAATTTAGCATTTTTTCAAAAGCTTTAAGGAGATGTGGTTTTGGGGTAGATTGGAACAGAGATCATATAGATTGCTTATGTAAATTTTCAGAAGCACACGTGACCACAGACAGATAGAGAATGGAAGGATCTCTGATCCCATCTGTATTAGATTCCCCCGAAGAGACAGAGTGAAATCCTCCTCTAAACCATGTGGTCTAAAGTAATTAAACCTCTTATTTGGCTCATACTACCTTCAATCTGACATCGCTCAATGAGGACCGGGTACAATATGTGAGATATTTGTTAGCTAAATAAATGTCACATTATTGATATACTCTCCCTGGAATTCTTAGTTGTAGAGATTGCATTTTTAATGAGCTGCTTATTTATCTGAAGCATGTTTAGTCCACTTTTGGGACATAGAGACTCACTCTAAATAGCAGTTATGATGCATCGCCTGGTTCCCCTTACTCTCCATCCACCTACAGATATGGAGAAAGTAGGACAAGGAGCAATTACTGTTGCCAACAGCTTATGAGCATGAATCTAGATATGACGATAGGCTTTTTAAACCCTTTAGGGGTACAGCAAAATTAGTCATATCTGTCATCTTGGTGATAACAAGAAGAATTCATCAGCAATGATATGAAGATGCAAATGCTATTGCCCGTCAACCTGGGAATTGTTATAAGGCCATTTCCTGGAGTACAGGAAGAATATATTCACAATTGGGAAACGTTAAGGACAGTTTACAGCCTTCCCAAGAGTGGATGTAAAAAGCAAGTTCACCAAAAGGTCATGCCGTGAATTGCTCTGAAACACTGGAAAAAGATAAAACGCTAGAGTATACAACCCTCAGTTAGCATGTTAAATATTAAAGTTGATGACACACGGTTTTAGAAAATTTAATAAAATGAATAAACATGTATGACTTTGGATGGATTGCAAAATAAGTAATTTCCCCAAGAAAAAACAAAAGTGGTTGATAATAACACAGAAATATAAAGGGAAATAATGGAGGTGCTCCAGAGGCTGCTGTATTCCAGCCCCTTGGGTTCTCTGGCTGACACAGCTCTACAAAATCATCATGACATGGACATGACCGTTTGAATGCCTAAAATACTACTTTAAAATAAGACCTGCATTGGTTGTTAATCAGCCTCCAAATAGGGTTAAAAACTAACCTTAAGGCATTGTCTGTTAATGTTTTATATTCAATCCTCAATTAGCTGATTTGTTAATTTCGCATGTATCTTTGTTTCTCTTTCCTGTGGGAGCTCTATACAAATAATATCTCATATCTCTTTTACCTTCATAATTTAGATGCAGATTCTGTCTTTTTTCAGATATTAATTGATTCATGTTCACAGGTGAAAAAGCAGGATGTCTGATGCTACTGTGAGGCAGTGAGGCTTTTAAAAGTCACAGAGTGTAAAGGCAGATGCAAAAGCATAGGCTTGCAGCTAAACTGGGTTGTAATTATGGGTCTGCATCACAGTTTTACTGATCAGCCCGGGATGCTGTGAGAATTAAAACTAGTCAAGTGCATGCACACAGATGAAACTATGGCACTCGTCACCCATTTCCTGCTCTGTTATATAGCAATTAGCGATTATGAAGGCATGGAGAGCCAATCAAATCTGGCTCCTGTGAGAACGACTTTGACACCAACACCCAACAACAGTGGCACTTTTATTATGATGAATGCTGCTTATACAGAGTGAATGAGCCCTTTTCCTATTGATTTCCAGCCATAGTCCAATGGGAAATAAGATCACGCAAGAGATGCAGTACACGTGGAATTACAATAACAACAATCCGTTTTTAATGCACGGTTAATTCTGTTATAAGCAGAGGTTGGTGGTATAGTTTGTCTGCCATGACATTATTGGATAATGAATGTGGAGGCTCACGGGGTGCTGAGTTAAACGTCTGGCTCAGTCTATTTTTGTCTCAAATATGTTTCAAGGCCGGCGTAGAGCAATCATCTTTGCGAGTTTGAATTCTCTGCTGGTTCTTGTTCGTCTTTCATCAGCTGCTTCACTCTCATGCCTTAAGCTTGAATGTCAATCTGACTGTGTCTATACGAGCCATTCATTGCCCTTTTTCCTGATTGTCCCCCTCTCTCCTCTTTGTACAAATCTTTTGAATTTTTATGTGTTTCAGAAAATGTGTCGGCAGCCGCCTCTTTATCTCTGTCTTTCACTGTAGGCGCGACTTCTCTGACTCGCTCTGCTGATTGAGCCGTGAAAGAAAGATAAAAATGTGCAAGATTTCCAGAGAGTTAAACAAAATAAGGCTCATTAGAAGTTTGGGTTAAAGTTCATCAATAATAACTGCTTGCGTGTGTGGACACCCGTGTCTGAGACAATGCATTCTGTCAGCAGATATAATTGTAGCATTATTGCCAATTAATGTAACATAAACATCACATGATCAATACACTTGCCCTAACAGTTACTAGAATAATTGAACTGAATTATTGTTTCCATTTCTGGCAAAATAATTAGAATAAGTGAAGCAATTCAAAGTATCAAGATCACAGAATCAATATTCTATCTGATTATTTAAAAAAGTCTGCTCCATTTGATAAAAATGCCTTTAACCAGGGTATATATATATAGGTGTGTGTGTCTGTGTGTGTGTGTGTGTGTATTATTGTAAATGTATACAGTTACTGTAAGATACCCAAATGAAAATTGGTCTCGCAATGACTGTGGAGATTTATTACTAACATTGAATTCTCCCTCACGTCTGTGAGAGCTGGGGTTTATCTGTATTCTGCTCCTGTGTTCATCTTTCACAACCCAAACGTGTACATGTGATTGCATCTGGATGCTTATTTATAAGCAATGCCATTAGTCATCGCATTAACCCCAGAATAACTGGCTCCTTCATTAATCAAACTTTCCTTGGTGATAAATCTGATACGTGTATTTCAGCTGAATGTCAGTTGCAGGAACTGTTAGGCAAGCAGGAGCGCTCGCTTTTCAAGTGTTAAGATAATGTAGGAAATGCTAATGTTTGTGTTTAAAGAGAATCAATGTGATGTAATCACAGAAAATTGTGTTAGGGGAAACTGCGGGGAATCGGCTCTTTACCGAGATGCAGCAGAATTGTCTCCAATAAAAAGGCCGATCCAGACACAACCTGCTCTGATTTACATTTGCAGGCGAGTGGGCACACTTGTTCACATTAAATCAGAGCTCAGCTCAGCCATGCTGCTCCCTGTTTCACCTCCACTTTTGAACCTTAAATCTTATCAGCTGCACCCCCCCCCCACAATTGACATGAATTACATCAAATTGAAGCAGCACACACACAGTTTGGGTTTTGAAAACACTCCAAATGGATGAGTAGTTGAATGGTGCCTGGTAATTACACAAATGGAAATACCCCACAAGCATGACATTGACTCTTTAAAGTTCCACCGCCTGCATATAGCTGTAAGTATTGTAGTGAATCTTCTAGCTTAATGAAAGGGAAAATAGTTTTTGAAAGGCAGCAAGAACCCCGTTGGGACAAATGAGACGTTTTCTGATGGTTCAAATCTGATGAAAGTGTCTCATCTTTACTCTCAAAGGATGAGATATATTAGATGTTATCAGCAGTTGTTCAAATACCTACATGTTTTTTTATTTGAGAAATTTCGGTCAGAGCCATTTGAGCATCAAGAGTGTCAGAGGAGAAGGAGGAGAAGGGTTTTTATAAGCAGTGTGATGAAATAGTTCAAGGAAGGATCCATGTACACTTCACAGGAGAAATGTGTTTCATCATTTTTCAAATGGTGGTTATGTTTTATTTGATTTAGAAGGATGTTGTGCCAGAGTTTTGTGTTGGCACAGAAAAGGTTTGAGCCAGTATGGTAGGAGACTGAAAAGACCTCAGAAATATTCCGGTGTCATATGTGGTGTCAGCTTTTGAAGTCAATTAAGTTTTTACTTTTCTATGGTAGATAACACATCTGATGTGTTTTTGTTCAGGAGTGGACAATAAAATCTCCTTTCTTATGTTTCCACTTTTGTAGGGAGTGTCAAAGAAGAGCAAGTTTCTTATTAAATTGGTTGAAAATTAAAGCTGTTTTTCTGGAGATGAACACGACCAGATCTTTGAAATAACTCCTTAATGAAATATGCCTCAACCTTTGGGATGATAAATGTTGTATAACCAAAGTTTGTTTATTTTCTGGTAAATTTCACTGTTACAGAGGAAATGTCAACAGCAAGTAGGAGTGAGTTGGTCTTTTAGACTAAAGCCAACAGAAGAAAAAAAACAATATACTGGGTGTGATATTGACTAAAAGCTTTATGAGCTTTGATTGTATTTCCTCCTGATTTATTGCCTTTGGTTTTTCAAACAGAGACCATCTCAATACTCTGATCTTATTAGGCAAATAACGTCATTGATTTAAAGATTTATGCAGTCAGCTGTTGTGTGATCGAAGCATTCCCCTTTTTTCATTTTATTTGTCCTTGTCTCTCCCCCTGTAGCAGATAGTATCCAAGCCCATCCCATGGTGTTTTTGGAAGGAGAGCAATATCATGGTAGTAAAGCTTCACAGCCGTCCTCTGAGGCAAAGATTGAAGGAAGAGGAGGAGATGGAGGAGGCCGTCGAACAAGTGTCACCAGCGTGGAAAGCGAAATGTCGATCTCCTCCCTGAGTCAACTGGGAAACACCATAACCAACAGTGAGTGGGAGGGGAAAAAGACAGAAAAGGCCACACTCTTTCATTTACCTCACAGATAATTCTCGGATGATTAGGTTTCAACCATTTCTAAAGTGATTTTGGATTCGGTCAGTCTGAAAGTGACTGTGTGTTTGTTTCAGTTTCCAGTAGGTGGTGGGGTTCCAAGAGGCTGGATTACGTTCTGTACTGCCCGGACGTGCTGACCGCGTTCCCAACAGTGGCTCTCCCTCACCTTTTCCACGCCTCCTACTGGGAGTCCACGGATGTGGCTGCTTTTGTTCTCCGGCAGGTGAGAGAGCCTCGCTGAGAGCATTATTGTTTTCACCCCAATAAGTTTCAACAGACCTGGAGAAGAATCCTCTATAATTAGAGCAGCAGCACAAAACAGCGATTCAATTAACATGTCATGAATTAATCTATGTGCTTTTACGAGAAAATAACAAGGTTTGCAGGAGCAACTATGAGCAAAGATGGAGGGGTTGGGCATACACATTTCTCCATCAAATATTTTGTATGACTGATTTTTTTTTAACCCATTATTGTTCAGTAAATACCTTCACTCAACCACAGCTATTTCACTGACTGCTTTACCCGGCTTTTGATAGTAAACATTACATTTAACAAAGGTACTGGTAGTCATTTTAAAGTGAAAATGGAGAACACACAGCACAGTACTGAGTCACGCTGCTAGACATAGATTGCCTGAGAATAAGATTTGAACATTTTGACTGATGAATGGAAAATTCTGTAAAATTGTGTATATTCCATAATCATACAAGGTATGCTGTGTTACAAAGAAAACATACAAATTCTTAGACATTCATTTAATGGTTTAGTTTCCCACCTTTAAAAAAAGTGTATGCCGGGCTCCTTCCTACAATGGTTGTGAGTGACGTGTTTGAGTAGCTGGTCAAAACAATCATTGTAATGGAGACTTTGAGATAACAAAGACAATTTTCTGATTATTTACAGACCAGATGCCAAATAAATGACTATCATTGAGGGACCTACAGAACGTTCCGTCAGTGATTATTAAGGGCTCATTCACTCTGTATAAGCAGCATTCATCATGTAATATTATCATTTCTCAGGCCTAACATTACTCATCTTCACATGAGCACACATGCACACAATTGATTCAAAATGGTTAAACTTTGCTTTGAAAGCTTTGATAAAAGGTCAGCTGATCAATCACAGAAAATAGATTACACTCGTTTAAATTTATCAAACTATTAAGGACCTGAATAAGAAAAATCTCTTTCTATGAGCCCTGAATAAAAATGAAAAACCAACACAGAAAATAAACTAGAAGCAGACAGAAACAGTGTGGTGTGTTTATACTGGTTAGCTCTCGATATATTTTTTTATGGAACAGATGTTTCCACTGAATCTCATTCAGTCTTTTTGTCCTGGAAACAACACAACAAACAACTGAATTAATAGACTATGTACTTATTTGTTCAAGGCCTCCTTGGTATCTGGAATATGTAATTAACATTAAGTGTGGCATCTAACAAGTTATGACAAAAAACCTGCAATGAAGTTTGAAAGTTTAAAGTCTGCACAGTAACATCCAGTGTCTCTGTAAATATAAAAAGTATCAGTTGTGTGGGAGAGATGGTGAAGTCAACATAAACCACTCATTGCATCCCATGTGAGACTGTTTAGGATTCATGCCCGACTTCGGCATACTTTTTTACATCTTAAAAATGAAAAATTATGCAGTTTTGATTGGTTTATGAATAAATGCAAAGGATCATGACCTCAACCTTAAACAGTCAAATTTGATTATGCAATGCCAACCCTTTAAACAGGTGATTAGGATTGTAAAACCTCTGTAGCATGTTCTTGGTATGAGTGGAATATCCATGCACATAAATATATAACCCTTCACCAGGGGAGTCTTTATGGTTCCACCACTTTGTATATTACATTTCCACCTCTGTGGATAGTTTCAAACCCTCTACAGACCAAGTCACTTTTAAACAATTATGTTTTTTTGCTCAACCGTGTGTGCTTTTTGGTTATTAGAAATCAGAGGTAATACATTTTCCAGTGCCACTTTTTCAGTTTTTCATGTTAAGATTTGTCAGCGAATCTAAGGGCAGAAAGTAATTTCTCATGTTCTTCTTTCAGTGTAAATTTGATGAGTCTAAGAAAATTTGATGAAACTGGGGAATGTTTCAAGTTCCAAGTGAGTCAGAAATTATATGCAAAGCCCCTTTCGAGTAGACAGCAGTAATTTTCCACAAGTACTGCAAATCACCTCTTGGCCCTTAATCTGTATCACTGCTTCTTGTCCTCCTTCCCAAAAGAGTTTAGAGAAAAATCTACAGCAAACTTAGCGTTGAGGCCCCTAAAATGGCAAAACCCTCCTTACCACGCTCCACTGTACTCCTCAAGTGTGTCAGCTGAAAATGTAAAGATTGCTCAGGGACAGCTTTTGTGGAATTGAAGCATGTAATTTCAGCCCTTTGTGTGTCACAACACCAGTTGTCATATGTGGGCTTTTTTCTCGGCAGCTCATGCACTGTGACTGTGTGAAGACCCAGGAAGTTGACAACCTGGACTCAGCTCCATTCTCACCCTCCAGCCCACGTGAGAAGTGGCTCAGAAGACGGACACATGTCAAACTACGGGTACTTTTTAAACATTTTTTTCTCATTAGCTAATGGTCTTTAGCCAGAACTGAATAGTGACTGAAGTAGTTTAAGCAGAGGTGCACAACTGGTGTCGCTCAGTCAAAATTTATAAAGTCCACCTGAAACTGATCGTTGGATTTTCTCACAGATGTTTTAACAAAGCACCTCGGCTTAGACGCAGGATTTTACACTGGCTGGGATATTTAGAATCCAAATGCCTCTCATTCTCAGAAACATTGCCACCCACACATACACTCAGCTAGGATTGTTTGTTTGCCTGTGAGTATGGAATGAATGGAAGAGGGTTCTGTGAAAATGGGCTTTTATTTGAAATTTCTGTCACAGAACTACTTCAGTTTCAAGGGTTTTTATACCAAGCCTTCACTGTATCCTTACCAGGTCTCAAAATCAGGAAAGCATCCCCAGATGACAAACAACACATGCCGTGTTACGTTGTGTTTGTATTCACTGGACAAAAAAAAAGAAACAAGATTGAGAACAAAAGTCAAATTATACAAAAAGTACACCCTGCAATTCACTACCCTGTCCCAATTCTAACCGTAACTTTATCCCTAAAACACGGACTCACATTTGATTTGAGCATACTTAAGTCTACAAAGGAAACTGAAAAGCATTGTGCTTTGCTCTGATGTAACTTTAATGACAGCAGCACTGCCATGTTCTTTTTAGCTGTCAGACCGACTGCGATTGAAGGTTTTAGTCCTTTGAATATTTTCCCATTGTAGAGATGGCTTTCTATTGTTTCAAAATCCACTTAAAACACTTTCCTGATTGGTGGGCGACAATAATTGCTCTTCCAGGTTCACTGCTGGTGTTTTTGCCGCATTATGCACTACTGAATGCATAAGAACAGCAAATTACCAAAACTTTTGCGAAATGCTCAAACAGCCACTTTGCATCTCACCTCATAGTTTGTGTTTGTTGGATAAAAAAACATGGAAAAGAGTCTCTATTCCAGCTAATTTTAAGACCTGGTAAAATTAGATAGATTAGATTTGGAGTAAATTACCATTATTATATTCCCTCAAAGTCTGAGACCCAGGCCATCACTATTACCTTCTATTCGTTCAAATGAGTACAGTTATATATTGGTTTTACACCGTGGCCTGAAATTCCTGCAAAACTCCCACACTTTTGCCTTGAAGCTGGCAGACACACACAATTACCTGCTGTATCAGAGCATTGCCGAGGTAATTCAAGGTCATATTTCTTTCCTTTTTCTAAAGGCCTAAAATTGGTAACGTCTTGCTTTTCTTAAGGCTATAAATAAAAGTGTCAACGCACAACTCCATGGAAACACGGCTATGTTTGAGTTTGAAGGTTTTCTTTATCTAATATCGACGTCATCGCGCTTTAACTTGTAAGTAAAGTTTTTTTTCTCAGTGCTGGAAGCTGTTGCTCCTGAACACGGTCCGAATTTAAGCAGCTCTGAGCTGATTTAGTCAGTGCACATCCAGTACGATTGCTGCAGTGTGACTGTTAAGAGACACTCGTGATCTATGGTGTTTCTTACTTGGATAAGAGGCTGTTTCACAGCTGGAGAGGAGAAGCTGGAGTGGCTGTTGTTATTTCACAGATGGGCCTTGGTAACTGATGTCCTTCACACTTTTTTTGCCTGTGAATGGACACTAAGCCCTTGTCCCTTGTTTATGTTGCTGTTATGACCCCACAGACCACAGCACTGTGTCAGGTAAATCTAACCTGATATGATCCTGGTATGGGGGAGTAATACTGCTCAAATCATAACAAAATTACAAAGATATGAAAAAGGCTTTACAGTTGATAACACTAAACTGTGCTTAACAATCACGAGACATAAATAGTGGTAATTAATTAAGAGAAAATTAAGTGACTTTATATTTGTGACCATATGTTCACAATATTTTTAGTTTATGTTCATTTTCACATTTGATTTTTAATTTACTTTATTTCTTCAATTACTTTTTCAAACCTATTTTTTCAGTTTATATCCCTATAATGAATTTAGACTCTTTTTTGTGTCACATAATTTATTTCTGTTTTATTTGAATCATATTAAAAGTTTTACTTAAATTATTTTTATCTTCTATCTACTTTATTTACAACAATAATTAAAATATCATAAATAAGTGAAGGTAGTTACAGTCAAATTTGTTTTTCTGTCTATCTTTTTTTTTGTTGTATTCATTGATAATACTGAACTCTGGCCATTTATATACTTTTGCATTAATTTCTGATTAGGGCACTTTTAGCCAACCCTACTCTTCATGAACAAAGTGCCAGGCAGATTCTTTCTTTATTATTATTTTTTGTTTGTTTTTGTTTTGCACACACACATATATATTTGCTCATCCTTTGTTAGTGTTTAACTGAGACCATGTGCTGCCAAACAATTAATTCCTTGCAAACCCAATGACTAGAACATGCTGGTGTTTGATAGGTTCACTTATCAGTCTAACATGGTTGGCATCTACTGCTGAGAATTTGTACAACAAGCAGAAAATACCTAGTATTGCTAGCTCCATGAACAGGTCTCAGATTAACCCGTCTCTGTGATTGTGCACAAAGAAAATTGTGTAGTAAATGCATTTTATAGATATGCATTTAATTACATTCTATGTACGGGAAACATAAATTATATTTCACAATTATATATAAATGTGCTAAACACTACCAGTATGCTCACTATACAGTTATTGGTTAACCCTTGTCTATATCAAGAACCAGGATTTATGTGAACAAATGACTGAATTTCTTTTTACTGTTCAGTAGGTACCTCATAGTGTTAGTGTCTGGCTGTGTTTGGTCCACTGGGGTGCTAGTTTGAGCCCAAGTTATCAGCTAAAAATTCCTGGAATGAGTAGTTTCCTTTTAAGTTAGAATTGATAAACTTCCAATCAAGGGGCTGATGTTTTTTCAAAAAGTAAAATGACTATAATGAAGCCTCTGCTGGCATACTGATAGATCCAAATATGTAGAGTGACAGCTGAAAGAGTTGTAAGGAGGAGTTGGTCAGAATTATTTTTTATATTTTCTTGGATGTGCTCAGCTGAATAGGTGAATTATGATTTAATGAATACTTACTATTCTGAAAGGAAGTCTTGCTGAATGTGGTCAGCTTAGAGAAAATCTTAAGATTAATGTTTCTTGGCTGCTGGCTCACCTGAATGAATTCAGAATAAGACAGACAAAACACCTTCGGCGATCCTCTGTGGAATGTCTCTATTCTTGAAATGATAAGAAATAAGTCTCATCAAAGCTGGGAAAACTTTGGATGGTTAACCTTTTCCTTGTCTGTATTCGAAAGGCTTGTAATGACAAGTCATTCATGGAAAGGTGGTGTTAAATCTCGTAGGAACTCAGGCAGACACGAGAGTGTTACTTCAAGCACCCTGAAAAATCTTGTACAAGTGCACTGAAGAGGCCCGGTGCTGCAGTTTGCTCTGATTACTCCAGTTTGTGTACATTTTATTGATTTCTCAACTCACATCAGTCAGTGTTCTGTGCCTGAAGCTTGTTCAGACCCATTTGTATTGAATTTCTAGTTATTCATGAAAAAATATAATGAAAAAGGTTCAAGCATTTCTGAGAAATTCCCTTTCTATAGTTAATATCTAAGGGCTTGCCAAGGACACATTACTGAAGTATAGACAATAAACATTGTAAGTTGATCGATTTGTTCCGTGTGGAAGCTTTTCATTTTGATGAGATGTGTGTGGACTAGATCAAATCATTGACATTTTCACTCGGTCATTTGAAAATGAAAAAAATCCTCGGTCTGCTGAACTTAAGAGAGCGTCCTTTAACCACCATGATGGTGCCCTGGATAACCACTGTTGTGCTCCTTGTCATGAATGTAGAACGTCACAGCCAACCACAGAGTGAATGATGCCATTTCCACCGAAGAAGGACCCCAGATTCTGGTTGGCCGCTTCATGTATGGACCCTTGGACATGGTCACTCTAACTGGAGAAAAGGTGAAAAGCAGCAAAGTTATTTCACTTTAACCACAGATTGAGACTTATTTGTTTAAATCTCTACTTGTAACCTACTCTGCCTCTCTCAGGTGGACATCCTGCTGATGACACAGCCTCAGTCTGGCCGCTGGGTGCACTTTGACACAGAAGTGACCAACAGCAGTGGCAGGGTCACGTACACCATTCCCAAGAGCAAGAAGCTTGCCCTGGGAGTCTATCCAATTAAGATGGTGGTCAAGTAAGCATCCATTTAGCAGAGTGTTGTATTTATAAATGTTATACAGCAATTTAGTTCAGAAGGGATGTACGAGTTTATAGCTAAAAAGTCCCATTATCATGTTGTTTCTCTCCTTTTAAGGGGGGATCAAACCAGTGCAGAGGGCTACCTGACTGTGTTGCCACAGGGCATGGAGTGTGTGGTCTTCAGTATCGACGGATCTTTTGCTGCTAGTGTGTCCATAATGGGCAGTGACCCCAAGGTCCGCCCCGGAGCTGTCGACGTTGTCAGGTAATTGTTAAGTAATCTAACAAATGAATTTACAAAAGATTTTTTATGTTTTCTTTATTCGCCTTCACAAACAAAAAGAGATCGGTGTTTTTTGCAAAAGGTTCGAATGTCTTTTTGAACTTCCCAGCGGGCTGTTTTGCAGTTATTCAGTGACTTGAAGTCACTGAAGTTTTGAAATGGCTTTCACTGTGATTAGAGCTGTGTTGTTAAGATTGTGGCTGTGACACATTGGCTTTTAATGCTTCTAACACTGTCTGCATATAGTAGACACAAATGTGAACTCCTGTGGTGTTTTTCTGACACATCTGTAACAGAAGCACAGTGGGTTCAGATAAAGTTGGACTTATGTATAGAAATATGATTCAGCCATGGGTTGTCAGACCCACTCTGAGCAGCAGCAGGGTGGTTCTTAGCTTGGTCTGATGTAGATGTAAAATGAAGAGCAAGTTTCCAGGTTATATAAAAATTGCCTTTCAAAAACTCTTCTCCTCAACCATTAGAGGGGTACTTGTTTTTGTGAGAATATCATTTTGCTTTATATTTTTTTGCCAGCTTTTTTGTTGACACCCCTTCAGCCTTTTCTCTTTTCAAGCTCTCAGCTATGACAGTTAAATCAAACAGAAGACACAACGCCAAACCCCAAATTAGAATTAATCACCACGATGTCTTAACGGGTGAAAGTAAATCCCGTTGTGTGTTTGATGTTGTGTATTCCCCTGCAGGCACTGGCAGGATCTCGGGTATCTTATCATCTACATCACGGGCCGCCCCGACATGCAGAAGCAGCGTGTGGTTTCATGGCTCTCACAGCACAATTTCCCCCACGGGATGATCTTCTTTTCCGAAGGCCTGGTTCACGATCCCTTACGACAGAAGACCATCTTCCTCCGGCACCTCATTCAGGAGGTACGCTTCTGAGACAAACAATTTCTCTGACATTACCGGAGCACTTCATCTTTCCTCTGCCGTTTCGATATATTTTGTTCCCCTGCCTTAAAGTGGCCACGGTGTATCTCTCTGCACTTTGCAGCGCTCTAACTTTGGGTTTTGCTGCACTGAGGTGTTAAACACGGTGTCAAGTGATTCGTTTTTCTCTCAACAGTGTCATATTAAAATCAACTCCGCTTACGGCTCCATGAAGGACATCTCTGTTTACAACATGCTAGGCCTCAGCCCCTCACAGATTTATATTGTTGGCAGACCTTCAAAGAAGTACCAAAATCAATGCCAGGTAATGCAGTTTTCAGTTTTTTTCTCTTTAAGAATTTCCTCAGTAGCGTTTCTTGGTTGTATTCAACTTCAAATGTCTAGACTCTCTCCTCGTTGCCTTTAAAGTTTCTACATCTGTCTGTCTACCCTGTCTCTTTGTTATTCGTGTAGTTCCTGAGTGAAGGTTATGCAGCACACCTCTCCACGCTTCAGTTCGGGCACAGGGCCAGACCCAAGAAATCCCCCTCGGTTCGGATGGTCTTAAGAAAAGGTTCGTTTGGTCTCTCGGCGAAGCCCGACTTCCTGTGTAAACGCACCCACCTGCGCAGGACCATGTCGGTGCAACAGCCCGATCCGCCGTGCACGCCCAACCCAAAGCCCGAACGGGCCCAGAGTCAGCCGGAGTCGGACAAGGACCACGGCGGAGGAGGAAGCGGTCAAGGTTCATGGGGGCGTCCCTGCATACATCGTGGGGACACAACTCCCTGACATCAAGATGAAGAAAGACCAATTACAGGAGGACAGAGGAGGTGGGGGAAAAGTGTGTTTGGGTCAAAGGTAATGTGTTACTTTTTTCAAGAATAGTCACAGATTATAATGATTATATATATAGATTTTTTGCATTCTGATCACTACAAATCACATATTTTCTACATGCCCAATTTCAAATTCCCGAGTTGAGTAGTAAATAGTACACTACTCTTACTCTTAATGACTGTTTTTGAATGATTGCAAGGCAAAATTCTAATTCTAATTTCAAGATTGAATTAAATCACTCCTAAATTTGAGAGTGCTGCGCTTCCCATCAACAGCACAGACGTCTTCAGCATCTTGTTTTCGACGTGTTCATCTTCAGCCATCTTGTGAGCAGAGATTAGTTACAAGAGAGATGCTTGGAAAACTTCCAAACAGTGATGCAAAAAACTCTAGACAGCCAGCGTGGGCGGTGAACGGTGCTTACTTTCTGCTCTGCTTCCAAACACTGCATTCTGATGTTCGCACGTGTGTTGCTTTGACACTTGCCACCTACCTAAACATTCCTGCAGACCTCTCATACCATCTGTATGGCAACAGCAGTCCTCTATTGTTGCAGCCTCAATGAAGAGGCTACAACAAAATGAAGATACCTTCATAGATGTGTCCTTTCTGGTCAAAAACATGTCAATGAGCTATTCAGATATGGTCAGGTGGTTTTAATGTCAAAGATAAAGATAGATGGAATAAGAACGTGAGGTATTTTAATGTGAAGTTAATAGATCACAGGCGGATCAGGGAGTTGCACCCATTACTTTACTGTTAAGCCTCTGAGAGCTCCAGGCTCTGACGTAAACACTGATTGATTTTACTCACTACCGCTGAGTTCCGGCAAAGTCGATAAATATCCACAATGAAAGAATTATGTTCTGTGGCGTGTCTGACACATTGCTGTGACAGGAGCGTTATCATTCTTTATAGAGAGATTACTCTAAAAGCAAAATAAGAAAAAAAGTGAAAGCAGACACTGATAATTACTGAAGAAATGAGGAAAGCAGCAATTTTTTTAATTTTTTCCCCCCGCTATTTAACATTCTTGTAGCATCCAGAATAACAGATGTCCTTATTGGCTGCAGTCCCCCAGAAGAACTGTATGCAAATTTGTCCATGATGGTAAACATACAACTGCAATCTCCAGCGCTTAAAACGAACTCATTTACAGATCAGGAAATGTTGTATGGACAAATAGGAATTACGAAAATTGTCTTGAGATCTCAAACACGTATACAAATATGCACATTTAAGCGTGGTTTTTCTGGTCTTTTTTTTCACCAAAAATCTGAGACATGACTGTATTTCTTCTCTCATTTCACAGTGGCATGTCTGCATACTGTGCACTGTGAATTGGACTCAGCTTCTCCTCCTGCTTGGCCCTCTACATTTTGCAACCAGTGTGGACCTTTTCTTGACCAACTGTTTGGAAGACAATGGAAGCCATTGTTGACCGTGTAAAGAAAGGTTCTCTTTTAGTCTAAATGTAAAAAACGAAAGAATGTATTTAAGGTCAAGGACTTATACAAGTGCTGTATTTATGTGAGCACACGTTCCAGAATTTAAAGAACAATCTGATTGAGCTGACTTGGACGCTTTGGACACGAGATACTGCACAAAACCGTAGTCCCATCCACACTTCTGAGCTGACCGGCGGTCATCTCACCACAGATGTAAATACTGCGTGCACATAATGCCTCTGTGGGCCTCCGGACACAGAACTACTGTGACATTTTTGGTTCAGTCTCCACATAAACTCCACTGCCTGGAACCCCAAAGCACCCAACCCCTGCCTTCATTTCAGTCCATCTGTTTGATGTTTCCCCTGAGCTGTGGTTGTTTTACTACTCACCCTTCATACCCCACTACCGTCATCTCAACAAGTCGGTCGACGGCCACCTCAGTGTCATGGAAGGGCTGTGGCATGCAAAGCTCATCTCCCTGGGGTCACATTTGCACTACGAGGCCGCAGCTCCAAAAACGAAAAATTGTATTTGTTTTATTCGATTTTTCTTTTTCCTGCCAGGTGTACATAGCTACTGCTAGCTAATCACTGCAACAACTGATTAAACGCAATTAACGGGAAGGGAAACAATGTTTACATAGTGATAAACAGATGAAAATCAAGAATCATTTTCCACATAATTATGACAGTGTAATTAGCCTTACTGGCAACATTAGTTTTGGTGGCTTAGTGGTTGCAGTAGCTTTGTACAATAGAACTTATCCCAGTTGCACTGAAACTATTAGATTTGTGTAGAAATCTGAAACTGTTTTGTGCACCTGAAATTTAATCTTACTTGGTGTCGTTTGAATAATTGTGCAAGTCAAGCATATTTTTCTATGGGTAAATACTGTAAATAGAAATATTTTCAATGTATGTTTTTGCACTTTTTTTTGGTTTAGTTGTTGATTTTTGCCTTAAATGATAGTTGATGTTGTGCAGAGAATCAAAATGATTTATTTGACCAAAGCATTTAGTTTCACCAATAGCTGTAACAAAGTACATTTTAAGCTGTTAATATTTGACATGATATACACAGAATCTAAGTGGCCAGTGTGTTTGTGTGAACGAGTGTGTTACTGTACAGTCATGTTTCGTGGGAACATGAGGACATTTATGATGAGTAAATACTTGTGCAGAGGAATCTGAGGGGAAGGAAGAGGCCAGTGTTCACATATCTACATGTTCTCACTGCCGTTTTTTTCAGAACAGAGCATGTATTTTTATAGCACTGGATAGAAGTCGTTTGTCAGAGGATTACATGCTCAAGGTTTTTATACCTGCCAAGAAAGAGAGGGGGCTTATGAATTCTTGGGATGTCTTGTGTTAGGTGAATAAGTGCATAGTAGAATAGAACTTGCAATCCTTGAGGGAGGGAGATTTAACTATTTTTCTTTTACCTCCTGCAACCCCCTACATGGTCCAGTCACTACCTATTTGATTACTCCTAAGTACGTTTGATTCCCCGTTTTGCCACCCCTGTAATTTCAGTGCAGCAGTTAGCTTTCCTTGATATAGTGCAAGTTTCTTAATAAATATTTAACTCCATTTTGTTTTGAATTTAGATAGTTAATACTGAAACATGGTTATCAGCAACCAGATTATCATTCCAATCAGTGTCCAGACGTTAATTATAGGAACCACACTAGCCTGTTCGATACATGTGATATATTTTTATACCATTAGACCACACTGTTAAATACTTCTTATTGGAAGAATTTTGTTCTGAAAAGGTTATTAAATGGCAAATAACAATCTAATGGTTAAGTGTTGTGTGCATGCTAATTATTTGATATTGTTCAGTATTGGCTATCAATTGTCATGTTAGTGATACTCTTATTGGGTATTTATATATACTTAATAATTAATGGAAATACTGTTTATTGCAGTATGTAAAAAAAAATAGTTTTAATAGCTAAATAGTCCCTAAATTCACAGAAACGGTGCGTGTGATGTAACCTTGCTTATACTTCAAATGTTCATTCATGAAGTGGAGAAGGCACGAATGGTTTTAAGTTTTTTTAACCCTCACATTATAATGTATTTATAGATATATCCATATATATATATAAATGGATGGGATTGTTTGAATTGATGGGAAAATAATAACAACATCCATGAAATTGGTGTTGATATTTTAAATATAAAACTGCTATATTCACCCTGGTTATATTCAAACACTGTGACTTAACTATTAAGAGACTGAGCTAATTTGCCATTTATTAACAACATATGACTTATAAGTTGCGGTCTGACTTTGGTCTTATATTTGACTATAGCCTCTTGGCTAATAGGAACAATAGTCAAAAAATAATAAAAACTATCCCTGCTGGCTTCACTGCTGCAAATATTTTTGTTTTGTACAGATCTTCTGTGAAAAGAACATGATATTGTGTTGATTGGACTCGGTCCTCCATTCATATTCCATAAATAAAAATGATTCACAGTTGAAGGTCAGATTTATGTGTTTGTTCTATTTGCTCCTTTTTTCTCAAAATGGAACTTAAAGAAATTTGTTCCCTTATCCCCATTCCCTTGTTAAACATTATTGATCCATAAATCAGCCAGTGTTTCTTAGCACTGACAAATTATATACATTAAGGAAATGACCAGTTGTGTGAGCAGCCACAGATGAGGACTTTGCTCAGTCTCACACAGTAATCCTAGACTTCTATTAATCAGAGAATAATTACAAATTGCCTCTGATTCCTGGATATCAAAGCAGGGTTCCAGTCACCACAGGGTGTCACATACTGCACAAATCTAAACCATCTAGACTGTAATTGCACTCAGAAATAATATTTAATTTTTAAAACATGTTTAATTTAGTTATTTATGTAGTCCCGGCAGCTTCCAATGTCCATTTTGAAAACTGCTCAGAAAAAAGAACCATGGTGACAGCTAGTGAAGGCTATACATGCATAATTCTGCCAAAATTTTTGGAGAAGTTACAGAAGTTGAGAAGTTCTAGGGAACTAGATGGAGGTGCACTGCTGACTGAGACTAGCATTGCAAAAGCTATCTACCTAACATTTCTGCGTGTCTGCAGTAAGTTCCCTCACTACATATGATAACTGAGGTATTTTCATCCTTCACCCATTGAGGCTGCAGCTCCTTATACAATGGTGCTTTTGATCAATTAAACAGCACTGTCTTTCATCATAATGCTGGAGACAGGGACAGAGACCTGCCTGAGGCATTCGGCAGCTTTAATGAGTCAGAACTGGGATTCACCAAGACACGTTCAACATTAGAAAACTGTCAGAATACGGGCCAGATAATCCTCTCTTGTAGAATCAAATTCTTATGCACAGGGTCATGGTTAAGCTTAGATAAACCAGAACTCAAACACAGTCAAAAGCCATGGTGGATGTGATATAAACCTAACCTCTGTTTTTTCCCTGAATTCCTCTAAAGGTGCATCCTATTCTCCCTGTTGTTGTTAAACCTTCAGATATCTGTTCTTTTATTAGTCTTGTACTGTGTTTCCCAGTTGGTCACAGAGGATCGATATCTAAAAAAACAGTACATTTTCTTTGAGCCTCTTAAATAAGACTTGTACACGGCACAGAAATCAAATAGGTGCTCAAGTTAAAAGAAAACCCTACATTACGACTGCCATGTCTTACACACAAAGCTTGTCGGCAGCAGGTGGAACTGAGGTGATGATTGAAAAATGGGATTTTGTTCGAATATTATTGAAATCAGATTTTGGGGGCATGCAGCGTAATCCCAAGCAAAGGAAGCTCTGGTGGCAAAACAATAAAAACTCCTCAGAGGTGTCAACACAAGCAGATGATGAGAACCGAGCTACCTGAAAATGCTTTTTCAAAAGAAACCGAGAAACAGAAAATGATAGATGCAGCATTTGCTATATTTCCCATTACAATTCCATCAACTCAATTAGGGTTTAAAATGAGGCATGCTATGATTATGTGTTTCAAATTCCAGATTGTGCACACGCTTCATCTGCAGACGTTTAAACTCCTCCCCATAAATGCCCCAAGTTCCAGTGTAGAGTTTAAACCTTTTGTTGGATATCACCTCCCTGCCTTTAAATTCCCACATCATGTCAAAGAACTTTCAAATAAAGTTTATGAGTGTCAAGCAGTGGAGAGACAAAAAAAAAGGCAGCTGACCCACAGAACAGCACATCATTCAATGAAAATGCCTTTTATTGGAATAACTACTCTCAGAGCAACATAGTTATTAGAACCTTAGGGGGGATTTTAACAACTGTTATAAAAACTAATCACTTGGAATATGTATCTCTATATCACTTTAGAATATTGAATCACTTTTGGGTCACATTTTCTGAATCTCTTTGGACTAATGAACGGTGTAAAATAGGATTTAAAGGATTTTGCAGTGAATGAACACGAGGCTCTCTTTGGAGCAGACTCTGGGCGCAATCATATTTAAAACATTAATGATGCACAATCCACTCTAATAACCTTCTTTCATTCAGTGTGACTTAAATACATCAGATCATGACCCCAGTTGAAACATTCTAACTAATCTGATCATGGTAAAAATATTTCAACAGCTTTCTGTCCTTTATAAGGTTACTTAATTAGTCTACAACAAGATCAAACCTCGGAATACCCAATAGAAGCTGTTATGGACTTTTTGAAGTTTGGACACTCATGTATAATCCAGTTACATCAGCCTGTGAATTCTGTTATGAGCGTCAAAAATGATTTAAAAAAACTTGGGTGGTCTGCTCCAGAGGCAAACTTTTGAGAAAAGAACTGCTGGAAAATTAAATTTCAGAAAGCAATTATCTGAAGTGCCCCCAGGAGCCGAGGGTCGGGTCCATGAGCCACACATCACAGCCGAAAGTGGCATCAGATGTGACAGGCTGTGTCCCCTCGTGTCAGAGCCCACATCTTTCACAGCTATCATTAACTAAAGTCATCAATATTTAACCAAACCTCAGGATCCGACGGAGCAGAACAAACACACAAGTGCTTTTTCGTCTTTTTGTTTGGAAAGTTGAAGTCATTTGTGTTGGGAAATCAGCTTAATGGGTGGTCCCCACGGCCTTTACTGAGCAAGTACTAAAGCAAGTACTAGAACGTTTAATTGAAAAATCAAGAAGGTATACGTGTTGATGTTATATTCCAGTAGCTCATTACAACCACATTTAAATCATTGTGAAACACATCAAAGTGAATATCTAACAGACATCCAAAAACATACACGGCATGTCCTCATAGGTATTACTTATTCATAATCAAAAGTGGCACTTGTGTTTGCAAACCCTTTAGTTTTTCTCTCTTTCTGGTGTGTCTGATTCCACTCACGCAGAACTAACCAACCGCAATGGCTCAAAGTGTGTTTGGCACATTTTTGCTTTACAAAACAGTTCCTAAAATGCCAGAGGGCTTTCTAAAATGTGCCAGTTGCTACACATCCATTTACAATTCCATTGGACGGAGGTCAGAACTTTGACTTCTCCTTTCCAAAACTTTAACTTTGTATTTTTTATGATTTAACAAGTTCAACAAAAAAGACTGCTGCTTTGATCCACTTTCTCATGAGCTTCAGTTGACAGACTGTCAGTATTGACAATCTCTTTAAATATTTAGTGGGCAGACTTTAGTCCCTTTGTAAACGGCTGTATGTCCTGATTGTAAGATCATCTCGATATTTAAACAACCATAATTCATACGATAATGCCCTCTAATGCTGTAATTGTTTAGGGTATAGGAAATATTTGTCATTCAAAGCTGAACTTTCCCATTATCTATTCACTTTGAAAAATAAACTATTTAGTTTTTTGTATGATCTTCATCAAATTTCAGACCATACTTTTGGGGAGCTGTGGCCCTTGTTTCATATCTTTGCTATTCAAATAGAGGAGCTCAAACTCCAAAGAGATGATTTATTGCAAAAGTACCCTTCCACAAATCTGTGCTGTAAAGATGAACCTTCAATAGATTCTTGAGTAGTAAGATGGGGGCTTTGCCTCAGGCAGTAGAGCAGCTTTCTACGAGTTGAATGATCAGTGTTTTGATCCCCTGCCCCTCCACATGTCACACTGACCTTCGCCAAGACGTTGGATATCCTCAGAGGAGCTAATCAGTGTGTGTATATGTATACATAGTGTATTTGTGTGAATAAAAAAAAATTGACACTCTCACATGTTGAGGTTGAGGTCTGTCTATAAACCCTCAACAAAACGTTGAAAATTGAATAAAAGTTTTAGGAAACAACACATATAATTACACAAATTAAGTCATGAATCATATATGTAGTATCGATTTTTCTATTTTGCATTTTTAGCGGCTCGTCAAAAAAAGTATTTGATGAGTAATATTGGTGTACACAACCAGGAAAAGGCCAGTTACTGTATTCATCAAAGAAGCAACTCTTATTTCTTTGTTTTAATGACAGCATTTGTTTCCTGCAAACTCTCCAGCCTCCACATCTGTAAATGTGACATTGCTTATATTTCACTAACAGGTTTACACACTGTAAAAAAAATGGCAGCTGCACTGGGGAACATTACACCATGTTCTGAATTGAGCTAACAACAACAACAACAACAGCAAAAAGGAGGAGGCATCAGAAAGAGAAGCCTGAGAAGGTAAATAAGAAGAAGGCGACACAGAGCAGACGAGGGGACACGGATTGTGGATGAAACGATGTCCCATCTGATAGACTGTGGAATTGCAGAGTCAAAAGCAGTGTCAGGGAAAATGATAAGTGACAGATTCAAATGGCTGGTATGGCACATGGCATCCGCAGCCCTCATTCCAGCAGCTGGATTGATTTAGCCGACACAAAGCCTTGGGGGCTTGATGGTGTCACACTAAAGGGAGCTCAGTACCTCTCAAAGTGAGACTGAAAGCCCTGGTTTGGGCATGCAGAAAAAAATCCCTTTCCTTTTTTTTTCTGGTCCCTGTTGTATAGAAAAAGTCTTTCTCATTAATTTTCTACAGGTTTTGTTTTTACAAGACTTTGAAAATGGCTTGAAAGGGCTTCGCGTTGCATGTGAATGCATTTTACAGACATTTTCTTTCCTACATGAAACAACTAGCTGAGAAAGTCAGAATATACATGCCCTATCTATTCTGAGACAAAAGAGGACCAAACCACCCATTCTGGGTGACAGAACTGGTGGTTTGGTCATAAGATCCCAGTCCCTGGTAACTTCACATCCAACAGTGTCAACCCCTGCAGAGTCACTCTACTTAGTTTATGTGAAGGGGTGATTAGAAACAGTGAAAGAGGTGTGGGTGCTCTTAAGGTGAATTATAAGTTCAGGACATTTTACTGTCCTGTCCAGCATCATGACAAACAGGACAAGGCAAGGTTATTTGTATCGCACATTTTGTGTACAAGACTACTCAAAATGCTTTCCACAGAGTTTAAAAGCAGAAAATGAAGAATAAGTTAAACAAAAATAAAACAATCAATGCTAAAATAGATTCACAGCCTGTTTTCATTCTAGATTTAAACAGATTTCAGGAAGTCTGGTCCAGGTTTTTGGAGCATGAAACTGAAACGGACACGAGATTTGTTCCCGTTCTTCTTGATGATTTCAGAAGGATAAATCTCTCGTTCTACGCAAGGTCTGGTTTGACACACACTTTTGTTTGTAGATTTTAAAAATAACGTGGAGCTCTGAGTTATGCCATTTCCGTTTGGCTCTCCAGCACTCCCTTTTCTGTGACATGACGAAGCCTTCTTTTGTCTACTTTCAACCATTCTAACCTTGACAGGAGCAATGCTATTCAAAACCTTTAATACATTTGATGAAGAGTTCAACAGATCATCAACATTAGAAAAAACCTAATCAAACCTAAACCTGAACAGGCTTTAAAGGAGATCACCAATCAGTATTATCAACTTGACTTTATAGAAGCAATTTGTGTATTTGTCTCTTGCTCCCTCTTGTGAAAATCACAAAACGTCAACGAAACCATCAACTTCTGAAAGCTGGCTGGGAATAAATTCATTCAGATTCAAAAATCTGTTCTAATAGAGCGAAAGAAGACATTTCTGAAGCAATCCTCTCCATCCTTCACAGGAAATCTTTTAATGAATTACAATGTGAGGCTGGGCGCAGATTTATACCTCCTCTTTCGAGGTGATACAGCTCCTATGTGGAAATATGTCTTATATCCATGTAACAGAAGGCCTATACGCATTGATCTATGCTATCACTCACTCACAGATGGCTGTTTGAATGTTTTTCAGCCAGATAGCAGCAGAGGGATGCATCTCATTCTGAATGTTGTGAATGTGCTGACTGTTTAACCTTATTTCTCCGCAGCAGGACTGTGAACCATATGACACGGTAATGTATCATGTTCTTTAATGAAAATGTCGGCCCGAAATGCTGGATGTTTATGAGACAAATCCAGCTCCTACAAAGGAAACCGGTGTAGTCATTAAAATGCAAAAGATTTTTTCATGAATAGTCATGACTTGTCATGCACTCTGCCTGTTCACGTACTGCATGTGACAACACAGATACAGAAAAAGGGCATGTGGTGGTTATTTAGTATGCTTTCCACAGTGGTAACTATGGATGCCATGTAACCCCTCTCGCAATAACTGAGAGAGAAATGTACAATTGATTTAAAGGTCTGTTTGATTACACATTAAAATGTGTTAACCTAAGAACCTGTTCCATTGAACTGCACTCTGTATCATGTCAAACATGTTCATTGCTATAAAAAAAGTATCTACTTAAATCAACATTTTTAGATTTGTACATTTTTATTGTTTTTGCCCACAGTGTCCAAATTGAAATGCAAAGTGTGGGCTGACCTCGAGTTTATCAATTAGTAACTTCTCAAGATGTTGAAATCCTTTGCACAAAGGGGATGCATACTGTCCCTGAAGCGCATCAAACTCAGAACATGACAGAGAGGATGGTCGCTCCACAGGACACATCAGGATTAACATCTGCTGGAGCACACATGGAGCTTTCCAGTGACAAACTTTTCCGCTGCAGGTGGGTACGAAACAAGGTTCCCGTGGCCCACAGAGAAGAGCTGTACCACATCCTGAGGATGACCGGACCTCTGGTAAGATCTGGGGCTGTTTACATATCCATTTCTGGATGTTAAGAGTCGTACAGAACAGAGTTGACATGTGACTTGTATATCAAACGGCACCACTGCTGATGTTTCTCCACAGCTGCTCTCCCGTATCCTCCATTACTTGCTTCCATTTGTCGTGACAATGTTCTGTGGGCGCCTGGGAAATGAAGTGATGGCTGGTTATGGATTAGCTTCTGCGGTAAGTGCTTATTGTACACTGCTGGCTGGTGTAATCCCACATGACAAAACGTGATGACGTCACTTTAGAACAGCCATAAGAAACATATTTGATATTACGACCATAAACTGAAAAAGATTTATTTCTCATTCCATAAATGTAATTGTTCAGTCAATATATATTGTCTTCAATCAGAGAAATTACGGTTATATTAGAGTTATCAAGCATACAGCAGAATTATCAAAAAACTGTGTTTTGAATTTATTTTAGGCCCTAAATATCACCATAGCAGCAACAGGAACTGGTCTTGGACTGGCATGTGATACTTTGGTCTCTCAGGTTTGGACATTTCATGACTCTTTACCTTACTGTCAATAATTTTCAACGCACTCATTGCACATTCAAACTCTTCTCTGCTCCCCGTGACAAAATGATTAACACCGTCTGGCTGGCGCGCAGACGTTTGGCGGTAAGAATCTGCTACGGGTGGGAGTGATCCTCCAGCGTGGCATCATCATCCTGCTGCTGTTCTGCCTGCCCTGCTGGGGGCTCCTCATTAATGCTGAGGTCATCCTGTTGTGTCTTGGCCAGGACCCCGAGGTAGCCAGGTAACTGAGAGCCGCTTCGCTTACGCACTGCCCCATTGTGATCGCAGCTGCACAATACACCACCCGTGCATTAAAATGAGTCCTGTCCCCTGCAGAGCTTCACATAATAAGTTCATATTTCATGTCAGTGGAGAATTTATGAGTACCAGTAGAAATACACACGCATAACAGGTGCTACTGAACAGTATGCATTACCCGAACTAACAATGTCTTTCCTCTATTTAATTTAAATACAGTTTTTTTTTAATATTTCAGAATAGCCCAGTTGTACATCATAGCCTTCATTCCAGCAGTGCCAGTAAGTTACATTCTTTATTTAATCTTTACACATTAATTAAATAGATCCTCAAGGTTTAATGTCAACAGTTTCCGTCATTCTCTGCTCTTTAGGCAATGTTTCTGCATCATCTTCAGGTGTCTTATCTGCAGAACCAGGTGCACCAATATCCTTTCATGATTTTTTTCCCCTGTCATTTATTGCTTTAATTAACTACTTACAGTTAATGATGTACAGTACTCCATATATAAGAGGGTGTGTGTATTCTCAGGGAATAATACTGCCACAGATGTACGCCGCTGCTTTGGCAAACATAGCAAACGTGGTGACAAACTACATCTTTCTTTACTGGCTGGATCTGGGTGTTGCGTAGGTGTACTCACTCATCTCAGCACATTTCTATTCCGCACATAGGAATTGCACACTCCGAATTGACCTGGGAACATTTCGTGTGTCTTGCAGAGGATCTGCGGCGGCCAACAGTCTGTCTCAGATTTACATCTGTGCTTTTCTCTTTGCCTACATTCGGTGGAAGAAGCTCCACGTTACAACGTGGGGAGGTGAGGGATTTAAAAATCCATTGTCTTGCTGTGTTCACACACTGTACAGGACTCTTTTTCTCCAGCATACTATTCTTCTCACATAAATGAGTGTTTCCCTCCCCCTGCAGGCTGGTCAATTGAATCACTGCAGGAGTGGGGCTCTTATATGAAACTGGCTGTCCCCAGCACTTTAATGACTTGTTTTGAGTGGTGGGTTTATGAGTTTGGGGGATTCTTTGCAGGTAATTTGTAATTATATTTTTCCCCACTGACATAAAACACGCTGTTTAAAGTGCCACTGCTATCAAAACAGCATTTCATGCAAGCAGCCAAGCCTGTAATTTGGTCTTTTGTTTGCAATGATTAGGAATGTTGAGCGAGGATGAGCTGGCAGCCCAACATGCCGTGATAATGGTGGCTTTCATAACATATATGGTATTGTTCGCCGTGTATATCCCAACATTTGATTCAGAAATGATGAAAAATTGCTTTCACAAACTGTGGCTGTTCATAGCTATATCACACCTTCAAATTTTGTGTGTTTCATGTGTTTTCTGCACAATGATTCCACAGTTCCCCCTTGGTATTCAAGCTGCAGCGTGTGCTCGGGTGGGCAATGCCCTGGGAGCAGGAGAAACAGCCAGGGCCATCCTCATCAGCAAAATGTCTCTGACCCTGGCAGGTTAGTGATGAATGTGAATTGTTGCATGACAAAGATTTTTGTTGTTGCTTTCATTTAAAGGTCTCATCTTAAGTACTTAAAAGTAGTCAGCTTTTCAGAACTCTCTTTATTCTTATATCTGTTAGGATTCCTTTTGGGTGAACATTAATAAAAACAAGGGGCGCAATAAAGTCCATCTCTCACATTAAAAAAACGAATCCCCAACAATTTAGCCAACCAAAGGACACAGATTTTTTAAAAATTATTTGTATCAAATTTTGCTGCTTAGGCTGCGAAACCTGCTACAGATAACAGGTTAATTGAGCCCTCATGGCATCTTCGCTGTAGCTGGACTAGAACAAGACTTTCAATATACTCTGAAAGATGTTGCTCTGTTGAGATTTTACTTAATCAAATATTCGAAGGTGTGTCTTGTATAGACAGATAACATGCATATATATATTCAGCCTGACAAAAGCTGACCTTTGGGCTTTGTGAATATGCAACAACTCCACTCATGGTCTTTGTACAACACGCCATGTGCTAGGATTGGGTGTAATAATTAAACCCAAAATGTACTAAGCTGTAGACATATTTTGACAATTGTAAAGTGATTGACACTAACAAGCTGATCGAAGCATACAACAGCAGAACGTGACATACTTTGATCAATCTTTTGATCCCCCTCCTGTGGCTGTATACTGAGACAAGCAGAGTGTTCTTATCAAATCTGAACAATAACTCAGCTTAACTGCAATGTATGCTCAGCTGGATAGTCTTTTTTCTTCTGCTCCTCTTGTTCAGGAAGCTTTGCAGTGGTTGAAGGGATTGTGCTTGGCTCCACGAAAACAGTTATTGGCTTCATCTTCACCTCTGATGAGTGAGTCTACACAGCTGGGCTCACGTTTCTGTAATCCTATTATTGTTTCAACCTTCCTCGATTCATCATTATAAAACTTATTTTCAGGAAGATTATTGGTCTGATCTCACACCTTATGACTGCTTACTGTTTCCTTCAGTTCTTTGATGGTCTTGTGGTGAGTTTGATGGTTTTATATTCACTTAGCAAGTAAATGTATTTCAAAATAAGTCAGATATATGAATAAATTTTTTTTTCACAGATTCAGAAATAAAAAAGGGACTGCAAGCACGTGGGAGTGCATACTGATAAGATCTTTCTTTTTGTACCACAGTGTGTGTGCACGGGCATCTTCCTGGGCACAGGGAAACAGAAGATTCCAGCTGTGGCTAATTTCATTGGATACTACTGCATAGGACTTTCACTCAGTGTTACTTTTATGTTTGTCGTGAAACTTCGAGTTTTGGGTAAATAAAAAGGACTCCTTTACATTTTATGGCTGATTTGCTTAGCTGAAATGTGCTTTACACTTAAATGACTGACGTGACTTCTTCTTCACAGGATTTTGGGTGGGACTACTGGTTTGTGTCGTTCTACAGTCTAGCTTCTACATCATTGTCATCTTCAGGCTTAACTGGGAGAAAATGACAGAGGAGGTATTTTAGTCAGGGTCATTTGGGACCTTGGTAACTAATGGTACTTACAAATCTCATACTTCTTGTCTTCAGGCAGTGAAACGGGCAAAGAAAAAGACTAACATGGGACTACCAGGTACAGACACCATGTCAGACAGTTTCGGTAACTACACCACAGGCCAGGTATCAAGGAATGGGATTGTAAGTAGCCTTTTCTCCACATGACAATCTGTTTAAATGTTGAGCTTGTTTATTTTCTAAAATTTGACCTCACTTGTGCCTTTTTACCTGCTTGATTTATTTTCATTTCCTGAAGTCAGTGGAGGGCTACATGGCTGTTTGCAGCGAACCCTGTGACAAAAACACAGAGATGCAGGGTGGAAAGGTTGGACATCTGTCCACAGCCCAGCTGATCCTCAGACGAGGCCTCGTCATGTTGGCAGCAGTCGCTCTGCTGGCCGTGGGAACCGCCGTGCATCTCCTGGTTCCCTCACCTCAGCCCCGGTCTGCGAGCAATTTTACCACTGACTGGATCAACACCACATTCTCTCCCGATCAGGTTTATTCCACTGCTCAGTAGAAGAGACAACATAGTTGTGTTAGGGGTTAAATTTGAATTAGCTGTCGAGCTATTTGTGTTCCATAATTGCAGTAATTTTCAACTTATTAATATATGTATGAGTCATTCACCATCAAAAATGTTCTGGACATAAATACATTTTGCTGTAAAAATAGTCGATTAGTGATTTGATTATTAACTATTTATCTGTCAGTTTTTTTGTGTGTTATCTGCATTTTCATTTCATCACCCTGTAATTAAACTTTGTTGATGATGGAACTGGACATGTCAAAAACTATTCTAGTTTTAAAAAGAGAAAAACAATCTATATATTTATATAGAGTTTCTGCTCTAATTGATACAACAGTATGTGGTTTTGTAGGTCTGATTCCTTTGGATTTTTTGTAAGAAAAAAGTTGACATTTTGAAGATGAATTGCTGGCATGTGTTTGAATAAATAACAATTCTTGAGTCAAAAGTTTTTTTGAATTTCTTTCCTGCTTCATTTTTGAGTGCTGCTTTGGGATATGGCTTATTGGCAAATTATGTTTTGCTTGCATGTATGCATAAAAAAAGCTTACAAGGGGTTTAAAGGGTTAATTTTTTATAATGTCCAACAAAGTCTGTATGTTGGCCATTCTCGCTTTATCTTTAGAAGGAACGATATCTTATTGTTCATGGAGAATTACCTCCCTTGGCTTAAACCAAAGGTGGCTCATTGTCTTTTAGATGTTTCATCTCTCCGATCTGAACACTATCCCTTTTAAGTCCTCCGTCTTAGTCTTTATTGTGATTGCAGCATGTTTCCTTGTCTTTGTTTGACAATCTCTGTTGTTTCAGCTGGTTCTGGCTTGACTCCAGGGCGGCTTAGGCCACAGCAAGTTTTCCATCCCGTGCAGCATTCCAAGATCAAGAAGGAAAGTATATCAATACAAAGATTAGACTGTGTAGTTACAGACTAACATTTGTATCTCGTTGTGTAGACATGGAGGGGTCCGGTGAAAAGATGGTTTGCTGCGGGAGGGTGCGCCATTGGGTTCCCGAGACCCACAAAGAGGAACTGTACCACATCCTGAGAATGACAGGCCCTCTGGTAAGGAACGGCGCTGTTCACATGTTCTATTCTGTCTGTAAGATACTGTGAGGATTTTGGGTCGTATAAGCGGTCCAGAGCTTAGGGGCAAGAATCAATATACAAAAAAGAAAATTAGTCTGGTTTTAGTATCTGAGCAGTGTCTGCAACCTTCATATGTGATGCCAGTGTCACAAATATTTTGTTAGGACAGAGTCTGATCACTAAGACTATAAATAGCAAGCTGTGTTTGCTGAAATATTACCTGTCAGCTGGCAGATGTTCAACGTGCACTGTTCATGTTTGTGTTCCTAGCTGCTCTCCCGAATCCTCAATTATCTGCTTCCGTTTGTTGTGACAATGTTCTGTGGGCGCCTGGGAAATGAAGTGATGGCTGGCTATGGATTAGCATCTGCGGTAAGTGGCCAACAGATATGTCTGCACAATCATTGAGGCTGATATGACAAATCTGGACCTCAAAATGTCCTTTATGTGCAGCAGGTAGAAGGGAAATTTGAAATGTTTGCAAAATTACAATGATAGTTCACCAAAAACAGAATGTTTTGAGAGGGGTTCATTTAGATCATGTCAAGTTGTGTGTGCTCTTCAGTAAATAAGTGGTTACCTATATGCTTTTCAGACCATCAATGTTACCACTGCAGCTACAGGATATGGTCTGGGATTAGCATGTGATACTTTGGTGTCTCAGGTATGGAAGACCCTTTTTATATCCTGGCATTTACATCATCCTGCTCTGGTTTCTGCAATGATTTTTTTTGTTGAATTGACAGACGTTTGGTGGGAAGAACCTGCTACGAGTGGGAGTCATCTTTCAGAGGAGTATCATCATCCTCTTGCTCTTCTGCCTGCCTTGCTGGGGGCTCCTCATCAATGCCCAACCAATTCTGTTATGTATGGGGCAGGACCCTGTGGTGGCGAGGTACCTAACAGGAGAAAATGTGTCTGGCAATGCTGTTTCTACCACTTCTTTTAATTTGTGCAAGTTTGAGTGGCCACCATAAGGAACTTGACACCAAATGCATTAAACAGTAGCCAAGAATAAAATATTTTAATGTCTTCCAAAATTCACATTACATATTAATAACTATGTATATAAGCTTATGTTGAGCCTGTGATCTAAAACGTGATGAAAATATATAACTTGGTGTTGAAATTACTTGTTTAATTTAGCAGAGTTAGGAATGCCTCATCATATTGTGCATCATTTACTTTTTATAGTATGTGTAGTAAGATGTAATAATGTAGACACAGACACACTGATATGCCTTAGCTGCTCATTAATGATCGATGATTTGGCTGTTGTTATTATTAATTATAGTTTAGCAGGTGATCCTTTTCCAGTTTTTGAATAAATGCTTATATACTGGCTGTTAAGTGACCGTATTCACAATAACCATTTCCTTTGAGTTTTTTTTCCTTTTAGTCTTCAGTGAGAAACGTTCACTTTTATCCTGTAATCTAATTTTCTGTTGCAACTGATAAAGTTTTATTGGATTAGTTTCAAGCAATTAACTACAGCAGTATGGTTTATTGATGTCCAGCTCCTAAAAATAACCACTGCTTGATGTAAATACTGTCTATCGTTTTCAGAATAGCCCAGCTGTATATTACAGCCTTCCTCCCAGCAGTGCCTGTGAGCCATTTCATCTTTCTTTTATGGATTTGAAAAAAATTCAAAGTGATATATGATTGTTGAGGAAATCATGAAACTGACAAAAACTCTGTTTGCAGGCAATGTTTCTACATCATCTGCAGGTGTCTTACTTGCAGAATCAGGTACATCTTCATAAAATTATGTGCTAATTGTTTATGTCATAATCTTAGTGTTGGAAAACACTGTGAAGTTTATTATCAGTTTAAACTATTTTTAAAAGAGTGTGGTAACTCCATCTAACACATTTTATACATGTTTTACAGGGAATTATACTGCCACAAATGTACGCTGCTGCTTTGGCAAACATAGCAAATGTGGTGACAAACTACACTTTCCTTTTCTGGCTCGATCTGGGTGTTAGGTAAGCATGCTCAACCATGTTAATACAATATTTGTTTAATCTGAAGAAAGCTGTTCTAAACATATAACCATACATGTGTCTCTTGCAGTGGATCAGCAGCAGCCAACAGTCTGTCTCAGATTTACATCTGTGCTTTTCTGTTTGCTTACATTTGGTGGAAGAAGCTCCATGTTACAACATGGGGAGGTGACAGCTAATTGTGTTAAAAGTGGTGATGTAACGATCCTAAACAAGCCATTTGTTCTTTTTTCTGCGTTTTCTGTGTACATGAATGAGTGTCTTCCTCCCCCTGCAGGCTGGTCTGCAGAATCACTGCAGGAGTGGGGCTCTTACATGAAACTTGCCATCCCTAGCACGTTAATGAAATGCTTTGAGTGGTGGGTTTATGAATTTGGGGGATTCTTTGCAGGTAATTTTGAGATTATATAGAGTTTACTTCCACTAAACAGTTTGGGGCAATGACTATTTACACTGTTTTGTTTGTGATGATCAGGGATGTTGAGCGAGGATGAGCTGGCAGCCCAACATGCCGTGATAATGGTGGCTTTCATCACCTACATGGTACTGTGTATTGGCTGCATGCCAGAGCACGGCTGAGTCACTGTTAAAACTTGTAAAAAAAAAAAATCCTTTCAGAGAGTCTTTTGCCACATTTGTTTTCTACACATTTCTCAATCCATAGTTTCCTCTCGGTATACAAGCTGCTGTTTGCGCCCGAGTGGGGAACGCTCTCGGAGCAGGAGACAAAGCCAGAGCACTCTTAACCAGCAAGGTATCCTTCGCTCTTGCAGGTCAGTGAGATTTTCCATCTTAGCCCATGTCATCCAAGGCTTCTTCACTATTGAACATCTGCTCCTCTTGTTCAGGAAGCTTTGCAGTGGTTGAAGGGATTGTGCTTGGCTCAACGAAAACAGTTATTGGCTTCATCTTCACCTCTGATGAGTGAGTCTCCACAGCTGGGCTCACGTTTCTGTTATCCTATTATTGTTTCCACCTTCCTCGATTCACCATTATAAAACTTATTTTCAGGAAGATTATTGGTCTCATCTCACACCTGATGAATGCTTACTGTTTCCTTCAGTTCTTTGATGGTCTTGTGGTGAGTTTGATGGTTATGTATATTTGAATTTTGCTGCAAAATGTATTTCAAAAGAAGTCAGATATATAGATTGTTTTTTTCACAGATTCAGAAATAACAAAGGGACTGCAAGCACATGGGAGTGCATACTGATGAGATCTTTCTTTTTGAACCACAGTGTGTGTCCACGGGCATCTTCTTGGGCACAGGGAAACAGAAGATTCCAGCTGTGGCTAATTTCATTGGATACTACTGCATAGGACTTTCCCTCAGTGTTACTTTTATGTTTGTGGCGAAACTACGAGTCTTGGGTAAATAAAGGGGAGGATTTAAATTAATCTGAAGTCTGCTTTACACTTAAATGACTGACATGACTTCTTCTTCACAGGATTTTGGGTGGGACTACTGGTTTGTGTCGTTCTACAGTCTAGCTTCTACATCATTGTCATCTTCAGGCTAAACTGGGAGAAAATGACAGAGGAGGTATGGCACATACGGATTTGGAAAGTGATTTTTACATTTGATTCTGAAAGTAACTGAAATTTCCTGTTTGCTCGGTCGTAGGCTGTGAAACGGGCCCAGAAAACGTCTCACACGACATTACTGATCATAGCTGGCTCGTCGGAAAGTGATGGTGCTGTTGACCACACCGCATGCAAACGAAAAGTAACAAATCTGCTAAACTTGCTTTCCATCAATGGGTTTATCTATGTGTCTATTAAAATGTCATTTCACTGCGTCAACTGATGGGAAATGTGGTTATTTGACCCAGTCAGCAGACGGCTACGTGTCCGTGAGCACTGAGAGCCATGACGGAAAAACCAAGGTGGAGGGTGGACTCGCAGGCCGGCAGCGGAACGGGAACCATCTCTCTACCGCTCAGCTCATCGTCAGGCGAGGTCTCACAATATTGGCAGCAGCTGCTCTCCTGGCTGTGGGAGCAACCGTACACTTCCTTGTGCCCTTACCAGAGATTCTCCCTCCAGGGACCAACTATACAGCGGACCTGATCAATGCAACATCCTCTCCTAATCAAACTCTTTCCTCTGTGTTGGTCCCAAATGAACAGCAAAGATAAGCACCATCAATTTTCTGTTGTTTTTCTTTTTAATCACGTTACATATAAACCCTTCTCAGTTTGACACAGCTCTCTCCGACAGTGTGTTGTTGAGTGAGTTACAGTAAAACAGATTGTGCTTTCAGATAACTCAGTGATCAGTCCTACATTCTGTTTGTTTCCTGCTCGTCTGCTCTCGTGACTTCTCACAGCCCTTTTTTCCCGCGCAGCGCGACCACCTGCGATTTGCTGAGCTCTGTTAGCTAAAACAATCACCCCACTGGCTAGAACAGACTTTGTTCATAGTCATGTAACCAAATTAGAAATCAGCAAGTTTATAATGACTCCAGCAGCCAAGATAAACAGCATGACAGCCAGAGCCAGGCCTCTATGCAGAACCAGAGTCCTGTAGGAGAGCTCATCTTCCACCGTTTTGACTGCAGGTACCTCCTCAATGTCAGTCAGGGTAGTAAGGTCTGCTCGGCCTTGGTCCTCTGGCAGGGGACCTGGATAGAAACACAGGACAAGTTTGGAATCTTTGATGAGTGTTTATCACAATTGTTCTGTTTTTCAACTTTAGATCTTTCTAGTATCTTGTGTAGATGTTTATGACAATGCCATGTTATTAAAAAATAAAAACAAAAGGTGATCACAGGGACCCATAAAGTGCCTTTAGTTTTCTGTGACTATGGTCAGACAATGCATTAGTGTAGTTGGAAAGAATAGCTGTTGCTGCTCGATCAGTTACCGTTGTAGAATTAAAGAGGGAATTTAAATTTCTGTTTCTAAGACAACTGTTTCACCATCATATCCTTATTTTTCTAAACTGTTCTGAAGCACTTAAATATAATACTTTCGGGTTACAGGAATCTCACATCATTAAAGGTAAGAGATTCATAAGAGCTGCTGTATAATTTCAAAGCACTCAAAGAGAATACACGGTATTTACTTATTCAAAAGGTTACCCAAACCATGAAAACTTCAACATGTTTTATGAAGTAAGGAAAGAAGAAGTTGCACAAACTTTGTGCTACCTTTTAGTAATGTTTGTTTTTTCTTTGCATAAAAGCACATTCACACCATTTCAGAAATGAAATATTTGTCATTTTAGGAATTTGAAAAAAGCATTGCTGAACAGCTTACTTGTAGTGGTGTAGCCCTCATGTACTCCTGCTCTGATCTGAGCCTGGAAGAGAAACAACATAATTAGGTCCAATTGTTATTCACAAAGGCCCTATTTAAATGAGCTTTTTTCAATGAGTACTCACCTCGATTGTAGCCGTCTTCCAGTTCATTCTGAGAAGGTAGAAAATCAGGAATATGCACTGCAGTGATACACAGGTAACCAAGCCAATCCAAAGACCTGGGGAGGGTAAAAAAATTGAAGTTTGAAGTCCAATTGGGACATTACTGTATGACCAAACAGTAAGACAGCAATGTGCTACCTGTAAATGAATGCCAATAGCTGTAAATCTCACCTATGATTCCTAATTTGGCAGCAAACATCAGTGGCACTCCAAGAGGGAAACCTATGCCATAAAATCCCAAAATGTTGCAAATTGCTCCAACTTTCTGTTTACCAGTGCCTCTAATAATGCCTCCACACGCCGCCTTAACACGCACAGAGAAAAAGATGAGATGAAAGTTCTTTAGGATGTTTTGTAGACTGTAATTGTCTTTAAAATGGATATGTAAATGGACATTAGATGTCCATTGATGACATTAGATGACATAATAACACTTACAGATATTGCATCTAGGAGGATGAATGGGGTATAAAAAGACATGACGTCAGAAACTCTTTGTCTAATTTGCCTGAAAGAAAATAAACAAAATGAACATGGCATAGACATACGATGAGAAACAAATGCTAAGGTTTGGTAAGAGACACGGAAACTAGAGCAGCACATTTACTTTCGGAGGAGATAATGAGTGACACATAACATCTCTCATCAGCAAACCTTGAGGCCCAACAAGGAGAAAAACTACACGAATGGGAACACAGGAAAATTAAAAAAACAAATTAAATGTTAACTGGACCAACAGCAGTAAGTATATCAAAAGCAGACTTAATCTCACTGACAAATGTAAACATAAACCACAGGACACAATTCAGATTAAATATACACGCAGAGTTAACAGATTTCTATGTAAACAACGAGTTGCATAAGGATGAAAGGTCACTGAAGTTATTCTCATAATGTGTATCTTAACTAAACCTTGGAGGTCTTTTTTTTCCACAGTAACAAAAGCTGAAGTTATTCCCACACATGTACTTACTCGTCATATGTAAAAATATATGAGATATGATTCTTGAGGCTTCCAATGAGAACTGCCAAGCAGAGAGACACTGATTCTGTGGTAAAGAGCAACACATTCACTTTTTTATACAACAGCACAATTGATAATACGACACAAAACCGCTGTCTCCTATTAATTCCAAGGTAAAGAGCCCTACAAAAGCCATTTTAAGACCTTGAAAAGGGCAACAGCAGATATTAGGATTACTTTGACCTCGATGACTGAAAATAAAATGGCAGCACATTATCTCATATGTAAACAACAAGAGGAAAGGAGAGCATGCATTTTCTTCTCTCAGGCTCAAGTCTAAGTGTTGCTCTGAATCTCTACAGTTTTTGGCTGTTATTTTACTGTAAACTGAGCATCTTTCAATTCCAATACTATGTGCGACATTTTCAGAAGTGCCCTAGTCTTGAGCGACACCTTTCATTATATTTTCTTTTATAAAAATGGAAATTTTGAGATATTGGAGGTGTGAATGAAAAAAGAAGAAGTGGGAAGCCAAAAAAAAATGCAGTTAAAAAACATCTGAGCATGTTTTAAAAAACAAGAAAAAAAAGGCCTGACTGGGAGAAGCACTCTCACTCTCACAGGGAAAAAATAATGCAGTTTTCAAAATGACACAAGAAGTGGACTGAAAGTCTAAAGGAGTGATCAATTTCTGTTTGACAGTTTGAATAAAATGCTGCACCTATGTCCTGTTTCCCCAGCAATACAAAAAAGAAATGAAGTATGGCCTCTGTGCAGTACAAATGCTTGCTCATAACAATTAGCCACGTCCTGACCTGCGCAGAACATGGTCAGTTTGGCAGACAGCTTGGCCTGCTCGGTGTCTCCGGCTCCCAAAGCATTTCCCACTCTCACGGTACCTGCCACGCTGAAACCCATGGGGAACTCACAAAAGAAGAAAAAGAAACTCTTCTTAATATACTCACTATCTGCTGGAGGAAGAGTTTTGTTTTCATGAGAATGAACTCACCATGTAGGCTATATTTGCCAGTTCGTACACAACTGCTTGAGTTCCGAGTTCCACCTCGCTTATGAGACCTTTTGAAGACAGAGAGTTTTTTTAGACTAAGTTTAGTACCACAAATTTCTCACAACTTATAATGTGATTTAAAATATTACCTGCCAGAAAACCCCCAATCTCATACGTCCACCACTCAACACACATCATGACCATGCCAGGGATGGCCAGACGGATGTATGAGCCCCAGTCCTGCAGGCATTCTTTAGACCAGCCTGTGTAAGGTATCAAAATTGACTTTCATATAGGGCAAATACTTTTTTATATGAGAAAGACTCAGTTTTTTCCAATTTACTTTACGTGCTCAAAACAATGTGAAGTCACTGCGTGATGTTACTGTAATGGGGCCTTTTGTTTCATCGTTTAGGCCAAGTCCCTTTGATCTGATCTAATCTAATGGATCCGCTCTGCCCTGCTGACCAGACTTGCTCTTTGAACCCTCTTACTTGATAATACATCAGCTTTTTCATTTGAACAAATCTATAAAGATCTTTCACAACATGGCTTGTCTGTCTGTGCCTTGGATGTTAATCCTGGGCTCCGTTTAAGAAAAATGATAATGTTTGATCATCTCTAATAATCTATTAGTAAAAGAAAACTTGATTTTGTTTCTGGATTTTTTTTCACAGTTAGAAGATACAATTTCTGTTTTTCCTATTGTCATTAAACGCAACAGGGTTTGCTTATATAAGCAGCAGCCTCCAGAAAGACAGGAAACAATGCATCTAACCAGTTTGAACCACTTCAATCCATGAACTGTAAGGAGATTGTACCCTTACAGGATAACTATTTACTGATATATATATCAGTTAATAGTTATATATGTTATATATGTGATATGTATGTGACTCACCTCCCCAGGTGGCTTTGTGAAGACCTTTCATAATGATAAAAACATAGAGAAATCCAGCCAAGGAGAACTGTGAGATTGTGTTGGCAACAGCTGAACCTCTGGAGGGAGTGTTAGAATAGTATAGTATTTGTTAAATTATACAAGCCATACATACAATCCAGACAAGGTCATGCGGGATCCCCCCAAAAAATACTTACGCTACTCCCATTTTTAATGGAAAGAGAACAATGTAGTTGATTAAAGCGTTGAGAAGATTGACCACAAAACCAGTGATTACCTGCGGCCAAATGATACCCTGTATGGAAAGTGCAAAGTAATTACTGATAAAGTCAAAACAATGACATAAAACAGTTCTATGCATTTTCACATCACTTCAAACCATAAAGACTGAATCAATCCAACAAAAACAGACGTGACCTGCATATTCTATCTACTCTAATTCTGAGAAAAAGGGAAGGAAACCACATGTCGGGTTTTATACGATGTCCATGGTAAAATCCTGTTGTTTTAGCTCTCATAAGGGGGAAAAGTCATGAACCTACCTGGTTTTGTAGATATCTTGATTCTAATGAATACATAAATGCAGCCTGTAACACAAGCACAAGATCACTCATGTTAGCTTCTGTGGTCTCTAATTCAGTCAAAAATGTTCTGGTTTATTTGTTTTTTGCTTTGTTCACATAGTATGAATGGCCTGTTTATATGTCACTTATTTCCTCAAACATTATGAAAGTTCTTATTCTGTATTTGACAGTAATAAGGGACTCAGGGAGGCATAGAAAACGTATATTCAACATCCCCTCATTATTGTAACGAGAAAATGAACCCATATTAAACCTACTTTTACCTGAAGCTGAAATAAAAAAGACATGGATTTCTGAATTCTGAACGCTCATTTTCACCCAGAAAGATTTGGTTAAAATAACTCTGAAGTCCCTGTTAATAATCTACATAGTAACTCAATAGTTTAAAAACAACTCTTCTGTTATGTTATGTCTTCTCCTCTTTGCCCGGCAATGCTCAAGGCTGTGAACAGGAGGGAAAAGTGAAGCCATGATGGTTTACAGGAAGTGCTGGCATGAAGATCTTCACATACATCTGGGACAACCTGCAAAGATATTTTCCATCAGAATGCAAAATATTTCTTTGTTTTATACCCAGAAGTAAAAAAAAAAAGATACTGGAGGATTTCCAGGCAGCACCTGGCTACTTCTGGCTCTTGTCGGAGGGCCAGCAGAATGGGCTCCGTGTTGATGAGTATGGCCCAGCAGGGGAAGCAGGCAAGTAACAAGATGAGGATTGCCCGCTGTAAAATGACGCCAACTCTCAGGAGGTTATTGCTGCCAAAGGTCTGTGAATGTAAATATATGTCCTTGTAAATACATAAGCTCTGGTCAGTTTGCCAGGACACCTACCGGACGGGTCTACTGTCATACCTGAGACATAAGAGTGTCACATGCTGAAGCCAGTCCAGTGCCGATAGATACGCCTGTCACATTGATGACCTGAGGATTTAACACGAAACACTGCTTTATTCAAATGTTCCATCAGTTTAACGAAACCATTTTATGTAAGAGGAATGCTGTACTTACTGCTATGGCCAAAGAGACTCCTGCAAGCTCTATCCTCCCCAAATGACCACAGAAAACAGTACTGACGAGACTCACAGCAAAACTCATGAGCTGGGCAATAATCTAAAGAGAAAAATCAGATGAATTAAAAGTAGCTGACTAAAAAAACACACGAAGTTTATTAGAAACTGACAATAAGATGTGCTTAGAACCATTCACTCTCCTTTATTCAGATCTGAATTCAGGCTTTAACATAAAAAAATATATATAAGCGTTGGAACTCTGAGAGTACATTTAAATACGGACACTCACCACCGGTCCAGACAATTTTGACAACTCTATTATTTCGCCTTTGAAGCCAACCGGAACCAGCATGCGGATTCGCCTCATCACGGAACATTCCCTCCGTGAGGAAAGAACCGATCCCCGCTCTCCGTTATCCATGTCTCCGTCCACAGCTGGTCCCACTTAGTGGTCTCAAGGGGTGAAAACAAAACAAAGTGTTCCCACTACACGCTCTGCGTCGACGCGCCGGCGTGAGGAGCGCACGGATTTCCGCGTAAGCAGCGCGCGTCCTGGAGAGGGTGGGCACCAGATCACAACGACTCCAATCTGATGTAACGCGTCTCTGTTTTCACCGCGTTGATTCAAACCATTCGTCTACGACAGCCTCACCTTTATGGTGAAGGTAGATGAAGAAGAAAAAATGCCGTGGGAATCTTGTGACGTCAGTCAGCTGTTTGAATAGTTCCAGACGCGTAAAACCATTCTTTGTATTTTTCACTGTTTGAATCGATGTTTCATTCATTCGTCAATCTATTGATAAAGAACAAATTCACCATATTGTTCCTATCATGAAACTAAAAATGGAAATTAACTGTACATTACAATTTGATCCCATCATAATCAATCAGAATCTAATGTAGTTTAAATGAAAATAAATCAATTCATATCAAGGTCCAGCTGCATCATTCATTCCTTCATTCAACCCACAGTTCACTTTGGATTAAATGAACACTTCCTGGACCAGCAGTGACGTCTATTGACCAGCAGAGGGAGTCATTTTACTGTCAACTCACCTAATTCCTCCACGAAGAGCTTTTGTTTCTGTTTGCTCAATGGCTTTGATTCACTACAATTTAAATACGATTTGTAGTTTTATGAGGATAAGATGGGAAATATGTAATATTCCATTAAAATATACTAATATGTCATTATATAAGGATTGCAAATGATCAAAATTAAACAGAAATAGTCAAGTTCCATAAATCTAAGGAAATTCTAAATGTTAAGTTTTTTCCAATATATTTTCTCTTATACTACATTTTAGATCTTAATGTGTCAAATTATAAAGGGTTAGACATTTCAACAACTTTTAATTAAATCGTTTTACAGCAAAAAACAAAAACAAAACATTAATATAAATGTTTATAATGATCTGAACTTTTACTAGTCTGCAATGCTCAAGTAAAAAAAACAAACAGTGCAAGTATTTTATGAAAGAAAGAGAAGACCTATTTAAATTAATTCTTGCGAAATGCCACCTTAAACCTAAATACGTGTTGTTCTTTTTGCCTTTTTAAAAGAATAGCTCACTATTTTGAATACAGGGCTAAACGACTCGGCTTCTTAGTAAATGCAGTTTCAGATGTATCAGAAAAACTTTCAATTTTCAGCTTGAGCCTGAAATGTTTGAATCTGTCTCTGTTTTTAAGACACTTAAATCTGGCCTATTGTGTTCCATAATATGAAAAAACTCTACAGTATTAGAACTGTAGAGTTTAGAACAGTATCACAAAAAAAACAGCAGTCAGTCTATCAAATCTTTTAGAACACCACAGAATTACAGTATACCACGTCATGCATGAAGCAGACACAGATTAAACATTTCCTACAAATGCCACATCACATAAGATTTTCCCTCATTTTGACCAACAAGGCATGAAATGAAATCACAAAAATTGGATAGAATTAGATAGAGCTTGAAAACCATAGGGAGGGAGTTCAACTGCTTTTGGTCACCTCAATGATAGTCTGCAGTTTGTTTGAACATGATGGAGGAAAGGCAAAGAGCAACGCTGAATCAGGAAAGTGTAAATGTAAATATAAGCCTTAGTCAACCCTGAAGTTTCAATAAAACAGTCCAAGGAGAGCTTCAGAGAAAGGAACACAATAGCAGGGTTGTGGTGCCTTAACCTCTTATTACACCTAAAAATGTTCTTTTTCCAAGTGAAGTGGCACGAACAGCACAGAAAAGGCTGTCATAAAGTTAAATAAGTCACCATTCTCTCTCTTTTTGAACCTGTGAAGTACACGCAACACAAATGTCTGAAAAAGAGTCTGTTTCCTAAAACAAAGGTTTTCTGAGAGGATTTTCTACCACTGAGTACATCCATCCATTTTCTGAACTCCCAAATGGGGTCGGGGGGGACTGCAGCCAATCCCATTAGTCGATGAACGAGAAGCAGGGTACATCCAGGACGGTCCGACACTCAAAGACAAACAACCACTCACTCCTAAGGGCAATTTGGAATGTCAAATCAACCTAACATGCAAGTTTTTTTACGGTGGGAGGAAGCCGGAGAACCTGGAGAGAACCCACGCAGGACACATGGTGCTAACCACCACACCATCGTGCCGCCTAACAATACATTTGAAATTAGTTAGGACATATTTACAGGATAAATATGTTTACACAATAGGATGGTTACATGTAACATGATCAACGACTTGGACAACTATATGAACAGAATTCAATCTTCATGAACAGAACAAACTGCTAAAGAAGTCTGTCCTAAATATATATATATATAACTTGATTTAACACTAAATTATCCGTGACTGCCCACAGTATGGGCTCAAATCTCAAACAATGACAACCTTAAGAGGAGAGACTATAAAACATCTGAACTAATTACATTGTTGAAGTCTAAATTAAAATATTCCAAAAGATAATCCTGAAAAGGTTACACAATTTGACTGATTGAGTTTCCCCAACTCAACACTATGTCAATTTGTTAATGCAAGCAGCATTCCACATGAAACACAATGAAGTCACTCAATGTTTCAGTATAAGAACAGCTGGGTTGACAGGGGTTAAGCTTCATTAGATGCCTGTCTTGTTTGTAAGTGTTCTTGAAATATGATTCACAAAAGTGACTCTGAATGACTTGGCATTTCAGGTTAAAGGATTTCTAAGGTAGCATTTGTTAGTGTAGAATGTATAAATGTATAGAGGGTCAAAAAGTGCAAAGAAAGGTCTTCTGTCTTCCTCTAGATCTTTTAGCTTTTGGCCTGACTCATTTCCACAGCTTAATTGGATCCGCCGGTTGCTACCTGAAACCATGTATCCAGGTCTTTATTCACTACCGATAGCTGATTGTATCAGACAACCAGTGTATTGTACTCTTGTGTAACAGATACAGATGAGGTTGGAGGCCAATGGGATTTTAAAAAAGCTTTTTCATTAGGAAAATACTCTCAAATACAACAGGTGGGGAAAAACAGTCGTGTTTTGACCTTTCGTGTACCTAGAAGACCTTCTTGGCTCCCCTGGCACAACTTCTTGTGTTGAATTGGTGTAAAAGTAATTTATTAAGCTTACAATCTGCTTACTCTGCAGCCAACAGACCATTGAGACAACAGAGATGCAATCCAGAGATCACCAGAGGCCACGTGCATAAAGTCCGCTGCACGATAATCTCCTCTCGGCGCACATCCAGCAAGTCTCATGTTTGAAGCTTTACATGTATATATAGCGAGACTATGCTACGTAAGGACATGTTTCAGCTGGATAATGAGTGGGTGGCACAAAGGCAGAAAAGACAGAAAGGCACTATAATTACATAAGTGTTCTTCCCCACTGGGATCCAAGATCATAGTCATCTGAAACGCTCTCTGCACCCAACCACTAGTTAACCAACAACCATTTTCCATTTTAATTGTCTTAAAGAAATGTGGTCAAATGTGCTTTGATGACATCCTTTTCTTTCTTTTACTTTTGTTTGCATGTCCATCATACTCACACAATTCAACCGACATGGTTTAGTATGCTAAAGTATGCTAGTTACTGCCATATTAATTTGTCTGGCAGTTGGTGATCTGTTTTTAGAATATGAATCTGATCGTGGTGTTAGATAGTGATTCGTACACTGGTGGGCTGTAATAAAGTTTCTTGGTTCTTTAAATGCAGACATGCGAATTATCATCTCGGGGCTCATAATGTTTATGACGCAAGAAAATACATAGTATATCATTGCCTTGACCCTTGGCTAACAGCGTATAATGACACAGATCCTGCATTAGGTGTGGCTTTCAGCCCAGGATTATTGTAGCATTCCACACTGCGTTTACAGGATTATATTAGATTTGTGCACAAGACATGTGGTCAGTTAGCAAGAGATAAGGACGCACAATTACTGTAAAACACATCCGTTAGTCATGTGAAATTGAGAAAGAGCAGATATTATGTGATGAAAGTGAGATAATTCTGTTTATGATGACCGTGAAGTATGAAGAAGAACAAAGTATTAACAGGCAAAGCTTGGTTTTCATTTGAACTGCTTTATGCAGGACTCTTCATTGTTAAAGGTCTGTCCACACTTGCTGTCAACATCTGACTGTGAAATCAAAGTTATAACTGTAACAACTTACCACGCAGTATCCACACATTCAGTACTTTTTTTCGATGCTGTTAAACTACTTTAACCTTATAAATTAATTTTAAAAACACACACAAGAAAGAAACAGAACTAATTTAAACATGGTTTTAATTCCATTTATTTTATTTTCATTTCATGTGTCCAAAAGCAAATGTACACCATTTATACAATTATCAAATACAAAATATTTCATATGCAGTCACTATAGAATTAGTTGTGGAAATGGGTCACATGAGAACGGCTTATAAACATAAACTTAAATCTCTGTTTCTATATACAATAAGGCACTATGAACACATGAATACAAAAGATTTTGTTTGTTAAAAAGGAAGTTTTCAGTTCATGTGATGGTGTATGAAAACTACAAAGCTTTTAGTTGGGTTGTGTACGAGTTTTTTTCTGCCATGTATGTTTGTTTCCAGAAAAATTTGGGGGGTGGGAGGCCTGGGGCCTATACCAGGCGTCTTTGGGCGAGATGCAGGCACAACTGACAACTAGGCAAACTAGTACACATTCCCAGGGTCCATTTAGAGCATGTTTTAAGGAAGAAGCCATGGGAACAAAGGGAGATCATACAATCTCCACACAGAAAGGAACCCCAACCGGGATTAAAATCAGGAACCCTCACGCCGTGAGTCGACTAACCCCGTGTGAAAATAAGCACCTATGAGAAACAGCTGTGGAAAAAGTAATCTGAAACTATTTTTATGGTGTAATATGTCGCTTGAGGGAAGCACAAAGTACAGAATTTGGCAATGCTACATCAGTAGTGAGTGATCACTTCCAAACTGTAATGATCTCATTGTTACTGCTGTATTATTACTAATGCGTCCACATATTAGTGGAATTTCAATGTGGATCTGGTCACATTTAGTCAACTGTGTATACTTCACATGCAGCATTATGTACTTTCAGTGTATAACCTTAATCAGAAATACAGTGCCCATACAGCAAATATCTAAAAGTACCTAAGGGCAAGTACCCCAATGTTTTAGTTACAAGAACACTTATTATTATTAGTTCATGCTACATTTATGCTAAATTAAACTTAAAAAATAATATAAACCATATTTACACAAGTCCTCTGAATTATTCAGATAAAAGAGAGTGAATGGTTTAAATTCACTCAACTGCAAAGGATTCCAACTGATTCTCTGTAATTGTATTAACAATCAGAGACAGCTTTTGGCTTCTGCCATATCTTTTTGGGAATTGGGAACTGTAACTTTGATACACATAAGAAACAAATGTTATCCAGCATTCTTCAAACTCATCAGCTTTCACAAACAAGTCAGACACAGGTATGAATAGAAATGTCCAGATGGAAACAAGACAAATAAAGTCTGCTGTTTGGTCTTGTGCTGCCACTCTAACCCTAGGTTTTGGTCTTGCTCTTGTGATTGGAGAGGCAGTCTCACACCCCTGTCACATTGGCCCAGGAAGGGAAGGTGTCCAGCTGAAACATGGCTCTGCCCCAGCTGTTGATGGCCAGCGTAATACACAGGATGCCAATGATGTTCATGACTATTCCTGTCTTGGCCTGTTGGTGGAGAAGACAATCGAGTTCTTTTAAGGTGGTAATTTATATTCTTCAAATCAAAAACAAGAATTTATGTATTTCAAAGTAATGCTCCAATGAATTTACAGAGAACTATCAGGACAGTGATAAGATATCCGTCATAATATTCCACTAAGTTAGTTTCTGTCTTGAAATACCGCTATCATATCTATAGATCTGCAGATATGAAGACACAGCATAAATATGCCTGCTATGCATAAGCATTGTTAACAGAGAGGCACATTTCCAACTTTATTCATCACTTTGAAGTTTCGTCTTGTACTTTAAAGCACTTTGTGTCCCACTTCTGAAAATAAAGTTGAGTTTGGTTTAAAATGTCCAAGTGGGTTTTCATGTGGTATGTTCATTTTGGTGATAAGTGCTACATCAGCATTCATTCAAGAAAAGCTGTGGATTTCTGGGTAGATTGATTTCATCCTCTTATTTATGCCCCACCTGCAAGTCGAACACATTCTTGTGTGCTGATGTACTGTCAGGTTATTGGAGTTGGTAAATAGCATAATCTAAAATCTGAACCAGGCATTCCTCATAACCCTAAATCTTTTTGTGACGTGTTGATTTTTATTTATTAGTTTTTTGTTCTTTGGTTGGATAGCAGGAAGTAAAATGATCCATTAATACAATAAATAAATGGTAAAACAGAAAAATATAAACCACAGCTCAACTTACCATGTCAGCAACCTTGAGGTAGCCATATGAGAAGACTATGGCGTTTGGAGGGGTGGCCACAGGCAGCATGAAGGCAAAAGAGGCACTCAGAGTACACGGCACCATGACGTACAGCGGATTCATTCCAATGGACTGAGACTGCAATAAACACACATTAGGTTTCAACAGTCTAAACCAGAGATGAATACAGTCCCGATCACAAAATCCTCAACTTCTCCGTCTAGCTACTTTCCTGCAACCGTAATCACTGACTCATAAGTCAGAGGGAAATGTGTGCAATTCTGCCCGAGTGAAAACTCTCATTAGGTGGGTGTAATTAAGATGTAATTCCTGCTAGTCTGGTGCTGACTCAAGATATCTAAAAGAGAAAAAGCACAGCGTTTGTAGTGATAATGGCAGGCTACTACATTTCGGAGAACATTGCTGTGTGGAATTTGCTTCTGAATTACATATCCTGTGGCAGACTAGCTCAAACAAGTGCACAGTAATTCATGGTTCTCAAAATAAACGGAGCGAAAATGCCTAAACTTTATCGTGAGGCTACTTTAACCTTTAGGCTATATTTCTGGTCAGCACGATGGCAGTTTTTGGTCTTGTGAGGTTATTTCTGTTTGAATCAAAGATTCAATGACTGGATTCGCAGAGCCAGATGCTACAAGCTGATATCGCCCCAAACTGGAATCCCCACAGATTTAACGACTTCAATCTGATCAAATATTCACTTTTTCCTCCCTTAACCTTCTTTCTTTGTTTAGAAATGAATTGCTTCTGCATCTTTTGCTCTCTTTCTCTCTCTCTTTCTCTCTCTGTCTCTATAGAGAATATCAAGCTGGAAGCTCCTTGTCTGTCTTTGGTAACCCATCTTTGGCATTCTGTCAAGTGCTCGGCTAATGGGCACAGTAATGCCATTCTTCAGCAGCAGCAGGGAGGGCAGTGGCACAGGGCAGTGAGCTGAATTGGTATGTTTGGCAGGTTATTAATGGGAGGAGGGGCCCACAGCAAAGGACCAAACATAATCAATCTGAATAACCAACTTAGTGGCTGCCAAGCATGGGAAAACAGGCCGGCTCTCACTGGGAGTAGTGTTAACGCAGGACCCCAATTGGGGAAATCAGTTGACATGACTCCAGGGATCACTTCACCTGAGTGAACTACTGCTTCCATACAGGATGATCTGTCTCCCATAGTCTGAGAACCAGTTGAGGCTGCACACCAACCCACCCCCCACAGAACACATGAAACTTTCAGAGTGAGAGTTCTTACCATTGAAGCTAAAACAGGTAGAAAGAGAGTCGCCGTGGCCACATTACTAGTGCACTCTGTGAAGGTAGCAATTAGCAGGCATAAGATAATAGCAATTGCCCAAGGAGGGATGCTTTGCAGGGGAGTCATCTGATCTCCCATCCATTTAGAAAGCCCCGATTCCTGAGGATTAGGCAAGAACAAATAAGAAAAGGTTATGTAACTTAACATAATATTTAATGTAATGTAACTTAACATAATATGTGTTTGCCACTTACTTCACTTCCCTTAGCCAGAGCAAAACCTCCTCCAAGAAGGAGCACAATGCCCCATGGTAACTTCTTTTGGGCAACTTTCCAAGTGAGGAGAGGCTGCGTTGGTCCAGAAGACGGACGTGGTGCTACCAATCCAACAAATATAAAGTTAATAGTAAGTTAAGTTAAGTCTCTTCTCAAGAACACATGAACTGTGCTCTTTGACAATGATGGCTCACCCGTGTCAAAACTTTGACTCCTCCGTGAACAGAAACGTGGAGGTTGAGAGGGCAGAACAAAGAGAAGCACAGCCACGAAAATTGCCACTGTAGCATCTGTCACGTACCTAAGAGGCGTAAGGAGGACATAAAACAAGTTGTGCAAAAGAGATTTGTGTATATTTCTTAAAGTTGCTTAGAAAAGCTTTAATACATACTCTGCTTTGGAGTTGAAGATGTTTGTTGCCCATCCGGCGACAAAACCTGGATCCCTCGTGAACCACATGACCACCAGCAAAGTAAAGAGACCAAGGACGCTTAATTCTCCAAAAGACATAGAGCCCAGGAGACGGTGCTGCTCTACTATGACGTTGTAAGCAGCAATGTCCTTCTCTGTCTTCACGGTCCCGCAGCCCCAGGTCTTCTTAAAACTGGAGAGGGATCACACGGGAATCAACATCTTTGTGTCAGCTCAGGCATTCAGCCGCGCTGTTGATGTGGTCAAACGTTTTCTGATGCGGATTCAAGTCGCTGTCACATTAATTAGGCTTTAGCAATCATCAGACTCACTTGAATCCCATGAATACAAACTGCAGCCAAAGCCAGGCCAACGTCAGCATGAGGATCATGTTTGGAAAGGCAAAGCCAAACCAGGAGGCAAAATTAATCACATCACCGTTGTCAGGAAACAACCTAATCAAAATAACAAAAATGTGTTATAAAGCAATATCGTGAATAAAAATGCTATTTGTAATTGATTGGGAGACACTCACTGGTTCATCTGGCCTTTTAGCACCAGGTTGGGGCCAGTTCCTGTTAGTGTGGCTGTGCCACCGATGCTGGCAGCATAACACACACACAGGGTCATCCCTTTACACATTCTGCGTCTTTCTGCGGCCTCCCTGAGCTTGGCAACCTCTACTGAAGCATCCAGGAAAGTCACCACCACTGGGCCTTTTAAAAAAAAATCGTGAAGAATCAAAGAGTTATTGCACCACACTTCTCTAAACAGAAAGAAGTCACCATGCTACCCATTCAAATGTTGTTTTTTGTTGCTTAAAACAATTTACTTGGAGATGAATGAGCCTCACCATTTCCTTCACTCTGTTTCTCTGTCTGCATAGAACATTTGCCATCAGTGTCTGATGTCTGGACCTGCTCGTCTGAGCTTAGGATCTGAGGTAGTTCTGCCTCACTGTTGTTGAGTTGCTCCAGCACTGCTTGGACAATGGGCACCATCATAGCTGTCGTAGCCGTGTTACTGATCCACATGGATAAGAATGCCGTGACGCCCATGAAACCCAGCATCAGACTGTCAGAAAAAAAGTCAAGAAAAAAACAAACATCTGTATATTTTATAACCTCTGGTGACAAAGCAATTAAACCACACTTTCATGACGCAATAAACACTTTGAACGTAGCATCCTTATCTACACTATACCTGTTTTTTTTATATCATAGCTGATAAGAAATTCTTATGAAACAGATTGCACTGATATGTAACGGAACTGCTTACAGTGCTGGACGCACACCAACCAAGAGCAGCACCCTCAGAGCAATGCGCTTGTGCAGATTCCAGTGCTCCACGGCCACGGCGACCATCAGTCCTCCCACAAACAACAAGTTTGTGTCCTTTAGGTACTGCATGCACACCTGAAGAATCCGGGTCACACAGAGTAAAAAGTGTAAACGGCTGGAAGTTTTTTTCTCTCTAAATCAAAGATAAACTGATCGTAAACGTTGGGGATTATCACTTACATCTTTGGACTGCATTATGCCAAACAGAGGGAAGAGGAGAGCCGGGAGGAGCGCAGTCACGGCCAGGGGAAGGGCCTCAGTGCACCAGTACACGGCCATCAGGATGATCACATACGCACATTCTGCCTCCTGAATGAAATAACAACAATGATAGCATGTTTTACTTTATTTGTCTTTGCAAAATTCCTGTGATAAAAGATCCATATACTTTATAGTAAGTAATCGGGATAATAGTATGTCATGATTTCTAATTTGCCGTTAAGGTGATTTAAAGAGAGATGGCAGGCTGGGTTTTTGTGGTTGCCCTCATGCAAATGTTCTCACAGAGAAGTTCTAAGACTACTTTCCCTTTTCATTACTGACACTAGTGTATTTTCTCTGTTCAAAAAAGCATGTAATTTTGTTTTGTAGGCAGATGCTACAGCTCACATCTCATTTGCAATCGGGTCTGAAGATGTTTTACATGGCAGTCAATGACTATCATAACATGCGAGCAGCCCTCATGTCTCCGTGTCACGTGCAGAATATAACAATGTGCACAGAGCCCTTCGATTACATGTTCCCACGCTGGTCATGACAATTCATGCTAACGGCAGAAGAGTTAAAATAACAGGATTTAAGGCTGCACCAGCCCCCGGCAGCACGGTTCTCATGCGTTTCGCTTTAAACAAGCAGCGCACCCAAACGCATGTGAACAGGTGCAAACAGGAACAAGTGCAAAACCAATTACCACAAGAGGCAATAAAAATGAAAACAGGTATATACATAACTGACAGTTAGGCTCTTTGTAATTAACCTTTGCGTCAAAACCAAGTAAAATGCGCTCATCCAACAATCAAGTTTTTTTTTTCTCAACTTTTAAGACTATTAAGTTTTATTCGTTATTTTTTCTCAGATTATTTCCCAACATACCGATGTCCCGATCACCAGAGGCAATGGAAGGAGAAGACATGGGGCGGAGAATAGGATAAGCTCATTCTTAACGGAGCGAAGATATCTGAAGAATCCCATCCTAGAGAAAGACAGTGGAAAGCAGCATTACTGCCAATGCATCGCGATTTTTAGGCACAGAGGAGAAGAGGGGGAGGTCAGGGTGGGGAGGAGGAGAGTCCCAGAGCGAATAAGAACGAACGACTCAAATCACAAAGAGGAGTGAGAAGTAGGAGTTTGAGCCCGGTGCTCACAACAGTAGACCGGATCAAAGTGTGTGTGTGTGTGTATTATTTCACTTGACCGGAACTGATTTTTCATCTCATAATTTTCCCTGTTTTGTGCCTCATTCGATGTTCTCATAATTGAAACTGGTAATGGATACACAACTGTTACACACTCAGTTATGAGTTTGATTGCACAAAAAGCCTTTAGTCAGTGTTGAGGAAGATGTCAGCATCACTGTCAAAGAACCTTTTGCTATCTGTGTAAAAAGCCCGGCGCAGTCAAACAAAACAAGTCCCTTGAACAGGACTTTATGTCCTGTCATTAATGCTGGAGCATATGCCAGCTGGCATCAGGCTGACACACTGACACAGGGTCCACCCACAACAGGTCACCTGTCTGTCTCACAGCCACACAGTCCACTCATACAGGATTTAAACCCGTAACCTGATTGCTGTGAAGAGATGGTGCAAACTACCACACACCTGTACAGCCCGTGTAATCTACCTTTGGACTGATGTGCTTTTTTTTTGGGTCCTTTTTTCTTTTTACATTAAAATGATGGGAAAAATCTGACCTATAACCAATGAAATACTGATGTCACGGGCCCACAGAAAGTCCAAATAACTATCCGTCCATCCATCCATCCATCCATCCATCCATCCATCCATCCATCCATCC